ATAAGCCGCAGGTATACTTAATACATAAGCACACACATTTACACAGTACAGGTGTCCTCAATATACACATGTCCATACAGAATATGCACGGACTAAAACGTACAGTCCGAAAGTATAGACTAGGTACCTACCCCATGTAAACAGACTTTGTGTTTGACGTCACATTTAGTATAAACGGAGGGGTTACTTGTGCTGAATTCATTAACGATCGACCATTATTTTGCACTCTGATCGCCGAAGTAGGATTTCATTAAAACGCATTCGTATCTCTTCGTTTTTACAACTTTTAGCAGCGAAGTTACACATATATCTAAATATACACCAGTGCAGAAGATATAAGTAGTTTGAGTTGCATATTCCCTTATACATGTATAAATATCAATTTTTGTTTATCACTTTATCCGTTTAGTTTATTTTCGCCGTTTTCAATGTTAACTTTGATTTTATGTTTTACGTACTTAGTAAATTAAAACTATCTTATTAAATATTTCCATATTTGAAAATGAAGTATTTGAGTGTTTTTATTCGGACTTGAATAAAATAAAGCTGCAGCAACCAACGAACTTTTAATAAACATTTATTACTACGATACTATTTTTAAGTCTGCGATGAATTCATAAACAAAAGTACCAGGTAGACAGGTAAACCAATAACTTTTAAAATTGTGTGTACTTCACAAATCACAATATACGAATAACGGTAATTTTGCGAAACTGTCGTCATTAGTAAAGTTAAGTGCATAGTCTGTAGTTTTCTATATTTTCTTAAGTGAGAACTGCTTGTTACTTTTAACTCTTTTATTTATTTATATTAAAGTGGCAAATGAGTATTCATTCAAGTAAAGATTTCGTGAAATAGTTTGTAAAGTACTATACCTGTTTATAACCTAATTTACAGTGTTTATATTGATCTTCTTCTAAAATATATCTTAATGGTGGTTTTAACAATAGATATGTACAACAGGTGGTCGAAAGTCGAAACACAGGGTAGAAGCGTGCGAGGCACGCTTTGTTTTTTTTTGATATAACTGTCAAAAAACCCAAAACGGTCCATCGGAACTATTATGTACTCCTAACTTTGCAGCGATATAGACCTTTTTAAATAAAAGAAAAATAATACCGAAGGAGGTAGGACGTAAATACGTTAGTTTGTTCAATTACGAAAATAATTATATTTACGTGTAAATTCGTATATTTTAAAACGCTGTTTACTAAACCTGTCAATCACAAGCCCAAAAAATATTTTTATGTTTAAATATGCTTGATATACATAGTAAAAATAGCTGCATTTTTTAAATGCAACATTTTTAATCTATTACCTTAAACGTTTATTATTTTTGGGAAGTTTACACAGTAAACTACTTTAACACATTCGTCGATTTACTTTTTTCTTTTTGATAAATACTTTTAACATTACTTTAGTAAATAATAAAAAAATACTTACAATAATTAATCAATCACAAAACAGGAACACAATGCAAATCTGAGTAGGTAATTCACACGCGCGGGTTATGTCAAAATGACGTACAGCACATCCTAGCACAATAACCGTCCCGCCACTGGCTGTGAACGACTCCGACTGGCTGGCTTGCTTGCCTTTGCCGCACGACGCGATCGTTAGCTTGTTTCTTTGAATGCATTGCCCCTGCCTGCTTGGTTTGTAGAGAGCACGCTACAAAATTTATTTGGACGTTTTTGGGACATTATTTCGGACAAAGAAAGCGTTTTTTGGGACTTTATCAGACAGGAAAAAGGATATATTTTTTAATGTTATTACAGTTTCAATTACACCTGGGTAGCCGTTGTTCTGATTTTTCATTAGTGCAAGCGGTATCCAGATAAAGATACGGATTATCGTTTAGACATGAGTAAAATATTTTAAAGTCATGTAACTTCACTCACTCATAAGCGTAATTAACGAATATTGAGGAAAAATAAGTTACTTGAAGAAACCCAAATATCAAATAACGTGTTTAACTCGGCTTTTTACATAAAAAAAAATACGATATCAGCATGAAAATATTATGTCCGAATATTTATTTTGAAAATATGGCGACTTCATTGCTCACCCAGGCGCAAGTGATCGCTCCGCAAATTAAATTCGAATACAGTGGTCTCTTTTAAATAAGTTTGGTTTGTGGTGTCTACTTGATGGTGCGTAGGCCTCGTATAAAAGAACACCAATAGTAGAGAGGTTTACAAATGCAATGTTGATTTAAGAAACAAGTAGGTAATGTTGGTATACCAGTTATCAAATTCTAGAAATATGTAAGATATTACCCTGCTTATATTCAATAACTAATTATTTTACTGTAGTCTTTCTAGGGCTGTTATAATTTCACATGATCACTGTAATAATGATATATGTAAATTAAAAGCAGTAATAGCCTTGTGGACTGGATATTGAAGACGACAGCCATGGTCGCAAGTTCGCACATACTATAATTATTGTTAACGAAAGAATTTCGAATTTATAATGAGCAAATATCTGTATATTGTCTAGCCTGTGACTGCTAAGTTATCGCATGCTTCCATATTGAGGACCGAAAATGAAAGCGAATAATACAAGTTGTAAATGCTAGCCCCGTTGGAGCAAAAAAATAAGTGAAAGTTAAAAAAATATCAATTTTTATCTATATCACTATTTCAAATGCAAATTTCTTATTCATTGCAGAGGAAATAATATAATGTACCAAAATAAACATAATTATAAAGATAACTTTTTAGGCGCGCATTCAGTATCAAAAGGCGCCAAATTGATAGGAAAGGAAAAGGTATCTCGACTTAACCATAGCAGCTGTACGATCTATTGTCAAGTTGTACAAATCACACTTAACCTTCTATTCTATAGAATCGACTCTGTGTCAACGATTTAGGGGTGATACAAAATACAGATGTATGTTTGTACGCTCGATTCAACAGTATTATTATTCGGATGTGACGATTTTATTGGGGTCCCGTTTAAATAAGCTTGTTTTTTTTAGTCGTGTTCCGTGAATACATATATGATTATTAAATCCTTGTTGATCGAGTCTTGGTATCTTTTTCTTGGTAATTTCTCATTAATTGAAGATAATGCCGACATAATTGCGGTTAGAAGTTTTAATATTTATTAAATCGCCATAGACATTTTTGCTTAGTAGTTTACTTAGCGTTACAATAGACGCACACGAAACATATTTTAAATGTATCTTCAGTAAACATTTAACAATTTACATGTTTTTCTTAATAGATTTGTCCCGTGAGGGAAGCGAACCCCCGACCCCCGGCGGCGATGCCAATAGCTTAGCAACTGCGCCACCGAGTTATTTTTATGTCATTTCTCATTATGTAAATTAGGATGCAACATTTGTTCTAATTGGCAAAGCTCAATTATTTAATCTATACTTTTAAATACGTTTGTCCTGTCTGACTATTAACCTCAACAAAAACTACTAACACCCGCTTTCTGAAACTCTGATCATCGTAGATGTTAACTAATCAGCGGTCAAATGTCATTTGTGTTGCCAAAAGGATTGTTAAATTCTTTGTAATGATCATTCTGATCATTAAGAAGATCATTCTGGTCAATTCAGAGAGTTTATCCATCCTTTTGACTACTAAAATGAAATTTGAAAAGCCTTTTGAAGTCGAGTATACTTAAATTTGAGATATCAGTTTATTATATAATGAAAACAACTGCTATTAAAGGATTCTGAAGATTATTTATTAGGATTATGAAGAATGTATGAAAGATTTTGTTTTTTGAAGTTAGAAATCGGGTAGAGTATCGGATTTTTAAAGATATAGGAACTTCAATTTTGAAGTTCTAATTCAAAAGAAATATAACTAAAAATTTTATCACCTGTTCTAGTACTCGTTTTTGTAAAAAATACATTAAGTGCAATTATAACGGTTTAATTAAATTACTGGTTGCCGTGGTGGTAGGGCCCAAAGAGAATGTAATCATTACGTTTAAGAAACGGGACTTCCATGCTAGCCATTAGAATCACTTTACGTGGCACTCTAATACCACGGTAGGGCCACGCACGTAGCACGAATGGGCAGTTCCGTCTGTAGAAGTACCACGACCGCACATAAGAGCGTCGTGAAGTAGAAGTTTTACAGTTCTAAGATTCTTCTGATGAGTGAGGTAGCCGGTAGCCGTATCTCACATAAAAAACTGAAGCTTGACCTAAGTTGTTTGTTTTGCAACCAACTTCATCATATCGTTGTTGTTCACGGACATCATAAAAATTTTACAAATTTTTTTTGCGAAACGCGCCAAAGAAATACAGCTTCAAAAAATCGAACTCTGTTGTTTTCCTTAATATTATTACACTGCACCCATGTTATTGTGTATAACGAACATCAAGTCTAGACCAATTATTATTAAGGAGCTTTTACGACGTTTATGCCCGTTTTCACCATTGTACCCTCAAACATTACTAAGGGTGCTCTAACCTAAGGGATCCTAAATCAGCCCGTCACCAAAATTCATTTTCACCAAATTAGGTGTACCACTTATGTATAAAGTCTTGAGATTAAGGGCTCCGTTTACCTATAGGTGACTCTTAAGCGGTTGTGAAAACGAAACTTACAAAGTACTCTGTGAAAGAAACTAGCATTAAAATTTTTAGGGGGTACCTCAAAGTTAAGGATCGATGGTGAAAACGGGCATTAGATACTTAAACAAGGTAAGATTCTGTATGTACCTTGGGATTACGGTGAGGTTATACAATCTACAAGTATATTATTAACTGGTGTGATATAAAAACATGTAGTTAAAATGCATTGCGAATACAAAGTGTAATCTAAAATAACGAAAATATTCAAACATAAAGGGTTAATTAAAAAGTGTTACATGATTTTTGAAAAAAATTTTAAAAATATAAGTATGAATTTGGCTTTGAAACTTATACCTCTCTCTCGCTTTAAAAACAAAAACCATTGACAGCTGACAAGGAATAATGTGTCAATGTCGAATGTAAAATCAAATATGTCAACTTAAAACAGTACAAAATGCCTGGAGCCGTGTGTGAAATTATTGATGACATTGAAGATTTGATTTCTTCCCAGGATATCACTCCTAAGGAAAGGTACGCAAGTAGAAAAAATGTGAACGTGAGATCTAAGAAACGGCAAAATGATGTTGAACCCGTTGAGAAGATAGTGTTGCAAAGTGTTGTGCCAGGTATAACCTATTTATTTTTAAATGACGTATTTTTAAATATGTTTGTATTGTCATTATTTATTCTCTTTATATCATATAATAATGATAACAACTGTGAAATAATTTGAAAACATTTTTTTATTTGAAACAGTATTTTGTTATTATTATATTTGTAATTTTGGGCTATTGAGAGATTGATATATTTTTAATATATCAAAATGTATTGATATATTTTCAATATATCAATCATTGAATATATATTAATCTCTAATGAACAAAACCAGAAACAAATATACAACCTGCAGCAGTCTTTATCAAAAAAAATGGACTATCAAGTCAGTATAAAAGTGACAACAGCTATTTTTTATGGGATAATTTGGCAGGATGACCTGGCGGTTCACATGATGTGCCCATTGACATGTGCAACACCTGTAGGGTCGCAGATGCATCGCCACCTTTTAATAAAGTGAGCCCGGCTACCACACCAGATTAAACACAGAAGTATAATACTTCCACTTCACACTGGTCTTCTGTGAGGTTGTGGTTACCTGGAGGGACCTGGCCATTTGTGCAACAGCGAAGGAGAATCAAGTCAAATATATTTTAGGGGCAAATTTTACCATAAAGTAATAATTCCTTAAGGCATGTAATGGAAAATTATGGTGTCAATTTACATCCCTTATAGTTCTTATTGTCTTTTGTGTAGATAATCCTCAAGTCTGTATGATAAATAACTTTGATTTGGAATTAAAATTTTATTTGGACAGTCCACATCAATATCTTCATTAGCTTTAAACACCAATTGATTACTTTGTTTCTTATTTAAAAAAACTGGATATTATTTATTATTGAAAGATATTATATTTTTTCCCAGTTAACAATTAAGTAAAACAATTTAATTTAATAAATATTCTTATTAATAGGAACACAAACAATTTATGTAAAGACATGGGGCTGTGCACACAACAATTCGGACTCAGAGTATATGGCAGGGTTATTAGCAGCCAATGGCTATCGACTTACGGAGGATAAGTGGCAGGCGCAGCTATGGCTCCTAAATTCTTGCACTGTTAAGAGTCCAGCCGAAGACCACTTCAAGTGAGTATAGGCTCGGTATATATTATAAGAGCCTTCCGAATTTTAATAAGTTAATAGAATAGTATTCTGGGTATTATTAAGTTACCCTTTTCAGTAGAAGACCATTAAAAAAAGTAGTGTTAGCCTTTCCAATATTTTAAAAACACCGACTTTGTCTAAGTGGATCGCTGGTGTTTAAAAGACTGTATAGAGAATTTTTGAAGTTAACATTATTAACTTTCACTTCAAATTCACTTTTATGTTATATAAAATTTGTAAATCAAAACAAACAACCAAGTGTTAAGTAAGGAAAAGCGATATACGGAACAACTATCTGTCGGTATACACGAATACTTGTACCGTGTGGGAATCGATCCCAATACTCTCAGTGCCGAAGCTAGGAACAGCGCCATCGAACGTGTGGTATATGGGTGGTATTCAGGAACGAGATCGAGTTGGGTCAGAGCCGCGGCATACACGTGGTGGTGGCAGGCTGCGTGCCGCAGGGCGCCCCTCGAGCCTCCTACCTCCAGGGTCTGAGCGTGGTGGGCGTGCAGCAGATAGACCGGATCGTGGAGATTGTCGAGGAGACTCTGAAGGGTGAGTGTAGCGCATTTCGAAGCTGGGGAACAATTGACTGGTGGAGTATTCCATTAGGCATTATGTCCGCCTTCTGTTATCCCTATTTAAGGTTTTTGCAATAAAGAATAAATAAATAAGTGCACAAATTTGCAAACAAACACCCAGATTTGTAACAGTTATCTCCGAGTCACAATACTTGGGCCTGTGTAGGGATCGAACGTAGCCAAACTTGGCAACTGCGATACCGAATCATCTCATTGCACTCCGCAACCAACCCTAATAGTGGCTGTCGTTAAGACAACCAGAAATTAATTCACATTCCGCTTCGTGCTCTCGTACGGAACGGACGTCTCTCTAAGACGGAGGGCTCATGCCACCCGAATTAGACGCTACTCGCAACTTCGGTTGCAAACTAAATCTTTGTGCAAGCAGTGCTGCAGTTTAGTGTTAGTGTAGTGTTGTGCTCGTAGGCAGGTTCCTGTTCTGTAAGTAGAATTCTATACACACTTCTCGCCTCAGAGGAGGCATTGTTTTATTTAATAACTGTGTGCTTGTTGCGATAGCTGGCAGGTACCCACCCTAGCGCACCTAAAGCGCAGGTGAAATAGTTGTTAGTTTTAGGCACACACCTCCCTGCCGCAAGGTGGGGAGGCCTATTTAGAAACTACACGCCGGCGGGGCGCAAGCCCCAAAGGTTCAAGCGCCGTTATGGGTTCCCTCTTAGAGGAATTCATTCGCTAACGATGCTCCGAAATGTGGCGCAGCTTTCTCGCCTTCGCCGCGTCGCCACGGCCAACGCCACGTCGTCGAATACGCTAGCGACAACCCGACTTCACCGGCAGTCGCCTCGCCGCCATCTCCGGTGCCCTCTGCGCCAGCTAATGAGTCGCCTTCTGCGACACTAGTAACGCCCGTCGCGTCGACTTCCGCCGCGAACCAACGAACCCAACGCGTCTTCCGCGCAACCAATTTCGGCCCCCTTCCGCGATGTCGTTCCCGACTCACAATCGGACGGCGGCTCGGACATGGAGGTCGAAACGACCCCCGCTGATAACGCGAACGCCGACGGCTTCACCGTCGTAAAGTCGCGCAAAAAGGGCAAAAAACGCCCCGCAACTGACAGCGACCCCGAATGCGAGGCCGCCCCATCTAACCGTTCCACCGTAACGCCCGCCAAAAAGGCAGCCGCGGCTGCCTAATTGGTACCCGAATTCGCCTCGGAGCGAAAAATTAAGCCACCGCCGCCAATAATTATTCAAGAAAAGGCAAAGTGGCATCAAGTATGCTCGTGGTTTGAACGCCACAACATCCGCGACCTCCGGTCAAAAAATACACACATGGGTATCCGCGTATACCTGGACACAACAGACGATTTCCGCCGCGTAACCAAGTATTTACGCGAAAATAAGGTAGGTTTTCACACCTACTCGTTGCCCGAAGAGCGTAAACTTCGGGTAGGGCGTCCCCAAAGAGTCGGATGTCGATAAGGCTAAAGTCGACATCCGCACTCAGGGATACCCCGTACATGCAGTGCGACGTAGGCAGGCACCCTAGAACCCGTGTCCCTATGGACATGGTCATGGTTGAACTTGACTCTACCCCGGAAGGTAAGGCCATCTTCAACCTAAAGAGGGTCTGTGGGCTCAGTGACTTAGTCATCGAGCCCCCGCGCAAATCAGGTGTTGTGGCACAGTGCCACAACTGTCAACATTTTGGCCACACGGCCAATAATTGCTTCGCTCACCCTAGGTGCGTCAAATGCACCGGTGACCACGGCACAACCGAGTGCACGAGACCAAAAGATTGCGCAGATCCACCGGACTGCGTAAACTGTCACGCTACCGGCCACCCGGCTAGTTATAGAGGCTGTGCTAAGGCCCCGAAAACTCCCGCGAGAAAATCTCCCGCGAAATCTACGTTGCCCAAACCCGCGCCCGTTAAATACGTTCCCGCGCCCGTACCCGTCACTAACGCCTGGGCGAAACCCCAGGTGGCCGCGCAGGTAACCACGCCGGTAATCCCGGTCGCCTCACGACCGATCGCACAACTGCCCGCCTCTCAAACGGCGCCGCGGCCGCAGGTGCAGCCAACTCCGTCAGTTTTCGCGGAAAACAAGGACGACCCCCATTCGCGCAAATCGCAAACATCTGCAGCCTATTAGATAGAATCAATAGGCAGGAACTCGCCGTATTGTCCGCTAAAATAGCGGCCGCCACATCTGGCAACGAGCGTCTTAGGGCAATTAGCCAACATAAAACGCTTGTGGAAGCCCTTTGGGCTTTTACGAGCCAACCGTAAAAGACAATAGTCCGCGCAATAAAACCGCGCTCCGCCGCGTCGTTAATTAGACCCATAAAAACACCTTAATGGGAAGTACAACCGCAGGTAGAACAAAACCTCGGGCTCTGGTTGTTTCGTATTTCAACGCAAACGGCATAAAGGGTCAAAGGGACGAAATCGCGGAATTCCTTCGCGACTACAACGTAGATATTTTTCTAGTGCAAGAGACATTCTTGAAACCTAGTGTACGCGATCCCAGAATCGCAAATTACAATATTGTCGACCGGTTAGCAAACCGTCTGGGAGGCACATTAATTTATTACAAACGGTCCTTGCACTGTTGCCCGCTCGACATTCCAGAGCTAAGTCAAATAGAGGCATCCGCGTGTAGGTTAGCGCTCACCGGCCACAGGCCGCTTGTACTAGTCTCAGTCTACCTCTCAGGGAATAGAACCTTATTACAAAGCGACCTAGATACGCTTCTTAACTTAGGCCCTTCCGTGATAATTGCAGGAGATCTAAACTGCAAACACGGCTCATGGGACACCAACAGCATCCCAAATAACAACGGAAGGCATCTCTTTAGCTTATCCGATAACCTAAACTTTAACATAGTCGCTCCCGCGACTCCCACTAGGTATCCTACGGTGGACAACTACCAACACGCGTCACCGAGTATCCTAGATATCATGTTATTCAGGGAGGTCTCGCTCGACATCGAGTCGATAGAGACAATCCATGAACTAGACTCAGACCACAGGCCCGTCCTGTGTAAACTGGGCCAGAACGCCGGCGCGGTCCCTCCGACCAAATCCGTAGTGGACTGGCATCGTCTTGAGGTCAAACTCAAGGCCTTGGACCTCCAGGATTTAGTAGACTACGAGACGATAGCTACGTTCGATGACGCAAATCGAGCGATAGCGAGTCTCCGAGAAACTATTACTTCCGCAGTCACAGACTCGGAAAGGACGGTGAAACTGTCGGGCGACCGACGGTTTAACTTTCCGCCCGACCTAAGACTTCTTATTAGACAGAAAAATGCAGCCAAACGCGCCTTCGACCGATACCGATCGGAATCGAACCGAACCCAACTTCGACGCCTTCAGCTCGACACACAACGTGGGACACTCTCCTAGAGAACATCGAGCCATCGCACACCGCCTACTGGCGGTTGGCCCGCAGTCTGAAAGCAGACCTCTTGAATCTCTACCGCCGTTAGTTAGACCTAATAGCGCTTCAGTAGCCCTAGATGACTCCGAAAAAGCCGAATGCCTTGCGGACAACCTAGAGCAGCAATGTACGCCATCGCGCGAACACACCGATTCAGTCCACCTAACGGAGGTGGACCACGTAATCGAGACTAGGGCTGCGCTTCCACCGGAAGGCGAACCTTTAAATTCAGTGACCCCCGAGGAGGTCCAAGATATTATTAAAAATTTAAAACCAAAATCCGCCCCAGGCCCAGATAATATAAGTAATAAGATTCTCAAAGCTCTCCCTGGGCCGCTTATCTGTTTACTGGCGACCATTTTCAATACCCTTCTCTCCAGTTGCTCCTTTCCGGACGACTGGAAGCAAGCCACGGTTATCTCATTCGCAAGCCGAATAAACCAGCTAATCAGCCCTCTAGCTATCGTCCCATCAGCCTCCTCAGTTGCCTGGGGAAGCTCTACGAGCGGCTCTTGTTAAACAGGCTCAAAGAGCACGTATTTTCCAACGGCCTTCTGCCGTCGGAACAATTCTGCTTTCGAGCTAGACACTCATGTCCCGACCTAAACCACCCCAAACACATCAGCACAGGGGCTCTCTTCTTCGATGTCGCAAAAGCATTCGACAAAGTCTGGCACAACGGCTTGCTTTACAAGCTGTACACACTCAAAGTGCCAGATGGGCTCGTACACACCATCCGGGCCTTTTTGTTGAATCGCTCTTTTCGATATCGAGTCGAGGGCACCCTCTCCACAAGCCGCCGCCTCACGGCCGGCGTACCACAAGGCTCCTGCCTCTCACCTTTGCTCTTTACGCTCTACACGAGCGACATACCCAAAGACCCCCACGTCAATCTCGCGCTTTTCGCGGATGACACCGCGCTCTTTTATTCAGACCGCAACCTTAGAATACTAACCACTCGACTCCAAAGCGCCGCCGACCGCCTCGGCGATTGGTTCCGCAAATGGAGAATAGAAATAAATCCCGAAAAGAGTGTGGCGATTCACTTCACACGAAGTACCTACCCGTCACATCTTTATAATGGCCCTCGCCAGTGCAGAAAGTTGGGGCAAATATCCTTTTATGGCCAACCGCTCCCCTGGGAGAAAAAGGTCAAATACTTAGGAGTCACTTTCGACTCGCGTATGTCATTTACTACGCACATTAATGACGTTCGTAATAGAGCCGCGTTCGTCTCCGGCCGGATACACAATTTAACTAATGCTAAAAGTAAAATGCCCTTAAGGCACAAATTATTATTATATAAGACCTGCGTACGACCTATTATGTCCTACGCATGCATGATCTTCGCCCACACGCACCCTACTCGCTTGTACAAGTTGCAAATAGTACAAAATAAGTTTATCCGCCGCGCAACCGGTGCGCAGTGGTATCAGCGCAACGTCGACCTGCACAGCGATTGCAGACTCTCGACAATACGCGCACATTTTAAAGATTTGACACGACGGTTCTTCGATAGAGTCCAGCATCATCCCAACCCTCTGGTGGTAAGCGCAGCAAACTACCAACCGGACACTAACGCGAACGTAAACAAGCGTCGCCCGCGAAACGTCCTCATCGACCCGGTCGACGAAGAGGACTTAGATACGATGGACCCACCGCCGGGGGTCCCGCCGGATAACACTACACCCACAGTTAGTGTTACAACAATCACACCAGTTCGCCCTCGCCTCCGAGCACGGCGAGACCCACACAACGCGTACACAAGGTACACCCGCGTTCTGGGGCGGTTCTCACCGCTCCCAGCCACCGATTAGCTAAATGCACAGTCGACGGCCGTCGGGGTCTCGGTCCGAACCGCGACCTCGACGGCCCTTAGATGACATACCATAATTAAACGCACGCATGAGCACATGCGCGACCCTACCCATAGCGGAGTGTCCAAACCCGTGGGTTCTGGCTAGCCCACCGGTTCTGCGTCCGATGAAGCTTTAATAGTCTCGGGACTGAAAGCAAAAACATCAGTTAATACAAGATACAAGACAAGGAATTAATTAGCTTAAAAGAAATAGGGCTTTTATTTGATGCTCATAACGTCCACTTTTACTCCTGCTATAGTCGAGCGCAACTTTTCTTAATTCGAGAATCATCTTGCTCATCATTTTTTGTGATTCATAATCACATTACTATAATGGGATAGTTGTTTTTGTTTGTTCTTTACCACTTTTAAGCGGATGAGCGAATTGGCATTAAATTAAGAATGAGGGCAATCTAAAAATAGCGCATGAGATATATTTCTCTGGATTTAATAATTAATCAACCAGAAATTACTATCGAAGGTGAATCGAGTAAGGGTTAAAATCCACGTATCAATACTCCAATTGTGCGATTCAGGTCACACGGTCCGCCTGTTCGGGCAGAAGAAGACGGGCGAGGGTCGGAAAGCGGGCGGGGCCTCCCTCCTGCTGCCCAAAGTGCGCAAAAACCCCCTCATAGAGATCATAGCGATCAACACTGGCTGCCTCAACCAGTGCACGTACTGCAAAACCAAGCACGCTAGGGGCGAGCTGGGCAGTTACCCCCCCGAAGAGATAGTAGAGAGGGCGCGGCAGTCGTTCGATGAGGGCGTTTGCGAGATTTGGCTGACCAGCGAGGACACCGGTGAGTGAATTTAGGGATAAGAAGTAAAGTAACTATTATATGTCCCACTGCTGGGTAAAAGCCTCCTCTGTGCTGATAGTGATAGGGCATAGTCCACCACGCGGCCCCACTGCGGATTGGCGGACTTCACATACTTTCGAAATGGAATCATCCTTACTTCATATTTTTTCTAAAATGTCCAGGCAGCAAGCGAGATGGCGGTTCATCTGATATTAAGTGATGTTCGCCGCCCATGGACTTTTGTTACACGAGCAGGGCTTGCGAGACTTGCGTGGCCCTACCACACTTCGTCTTCTAGGGTTTAGGCAACTTGTCCAACGTTGTATGGGTTCATAGGAACTTACGGCCGGGACATCGGCACCTCGCTGCCGGAGCTGCTGCGGCGGCTGGTCGAGGTGATACCGGAGGGCGGCCGCCTCCGCCTGGGCATGACCAACCCGCCCTACATCCTCGACCACCTGCAGCAGGTGGCCGAAATCATGCGCCACCCACGGGTCTACAAGTATGTACCTAGCTACTAGTGCCGCCTTTTTGTTTGACTCCGGGATCTCCTATATAACGCACAGGTGTCCCTCAGTACTGCGCGTGAGCTAGAGACCACTTCGTGCTGCTATCAATATTTACTTTTCTATAAGCCCGGAACTAAAGGGCTGAGCTAATAGTGCCGACGTAATTTAGAGTAGACCATGATGGGAGGGGTGAGATTAGTTTTGTACATTCTCTCCTGTTTTGAATTAACACAAACAAAAAAGTTTAAGGTAAACAAAAACAGTTTTGTGAAAATATTGGCATCACAGATATTATTATAAAATATTTAAAAAAACGTATAATGCAGAGGAGTAGTGACACTTCAATTCTGCCGTTTTTAGTGCAAAATAGTTTAGCACACATGGCCGTAACCAAACAATGTAGTTGTTAGTAACGCGGCAATGTTGTTATTAGCTTAGGCGCAATTAAGTAATTGAGGTGTTTGCCTAGTAGCAACCAATATTTTTTTTATACATTTCCCTTACTTTAGGATTATAATATCATATTGTGTTGTACGGACGTTTCTTTTAACATAAATTTCACGCGGACAAACAATTATCTGTGGGTCACACGAATAGTTGTTCTGTGTGGGGACCTTGGCAACTGCGCCACGGAGTAATCAAAGCAGTTGTTAGCCTGGCCGCAACCAAGCAACGCAGTTGTTAGCCTAGCCGCAACCAAGCAACGCAGTTGCTAGCCTGGCCGCAACCGAGCAACGCAGTTGTTAGCCTAGCCGTGACAAGGCAACGCAGTTCATAGCCTCACCGGTACCAGTCCGCTCGGCCGCTAGGGCGTAACGGTGCACCGTTCGCGGTCCCAGGTTCCTCCACGTGCCCGTGCAGTCGGGAAGCGACAGAGTCCTCGCTGACATGAAGCGCGAGTACACCCGCGCCGACTTCGAACGCGTCGTCGACTACCTTAAGGAGCAGTGAGTTGATAACCTCTTTTTTTTTTAATTTTTACCTCTTTTTTTTTTTTTCTTTTTTTACCTCTTTTTTTTATTGAAATTTTGTAGAAAAACGGACTGAGGTAATGAAGTTTTTCGCTGCGGGAATCGAACTTTTTTTATTTATTTGAGAAGGTGGGAAGTGCGCTGGCGGCTCACCTGGTGAGTGATGACCGCCGCCCAAGAACATTTGCAACTCCCCTAGGCTTGCATGAGCGTTGCCACCTATAATTAAGTGGGCCCTTATTTGCTTACAGTCGTAATAATCTCGTAAAGCGTAAACTATTGAACAAATTTTATTTTTTTCATTCGGAATGATCAATTGAAAGAGTTTAACCATCTTTATGGCAATTCAAATGACATTTGAAAGCTGATTAATTGATTTCTACGACGAGCAGTGGTTCAGAAACCGGGTGTTGGTCTTTTTTTGATTCTTTCTCGCGAAATTTTATCGTCAAGTGTTCTATGATGAGGCTTTAACAGTCTACAGACTGACAGCAAAAACACCAGTTAAAGTATGTACTTAGGACTGTCTCTTTTTGATTCTTACTCACAAAACTATTATCAAGCGTTCGATAAGGCTTTAATAGTCTACGGACTGGGGGCAAAAACGTCGACATTAGTTAAATTATGTAATTAGTACTGGACTCTTTCGGGTTTTCTCACGAAACCTTAATACATATGATAAGTTCCATTGGGCTTATTTCAATATCACTTTAATATCAAAAGATTAGGCTTTAATAATCTTCGGACTGAGCAAAAACATCAACATCAGTTAAAGTATTTACTTAGGACCGTCTCTTTTGCATTCTTTCGCATGGAACTTTATCATCATGCGTTAGATGACGCTTTAATAGTCTACGGACTAACATAAAAAACATCAGTTATATTATGAGCTTAGGACTGTCTCTTTTGCATTCGGCGGACTTCAAAAACGGAGAGGTTCTCAATTCGACTGTATTTTTTTTTGTTTGTTACCTCAGATCTTTCGACTTAGTGAATCGAATTTGGCGATTCTTTTTTCATTTGAAAGACATAAGACATTTTATCCGACACTTCATCTGCACACATATTAATTACATTTGGTTACAATGTTTATAATTACAAAAGAACAAAAACAATATAATAAACTAAAAAAATAAAAATTAAAATAAGCAAATAAATTAAATAACCTAAGAGTAATTACAAGAAGAAAAAAAAAATAAGTGAAAGTAAATCAAAGAATAAAAATAAAAGGAATTTATAAATAAGGATGTAGTGACGGTAGGGACCATCTCAGCATATGCCGCGCAAATTGCGGCGCTTATAGCGAAGGCTGGTACTTCCCATGTGGTCCCGTATTAATTTAATTGGTATTGGAGGTTGGGCTCGGATTTTGGATTTTGGATTGGAGATATTTAGGGAACTCCTGAAAATCAAGTATACAGCGTGTCTTTACAATCGCGACAATAAATGGACACACATATAGGGAATAACTTTTTAAAATTGTATTAAACATTTATTATTCTTATATTCTATACATTCTTTAAAAATCAATATTTGCATAGTTATTAAATTTACCAAAACAAAGAATTTTAGAACATCCTCACGTATAAAACTGTAACGTAAAGTTCATTTGTAAAGGTCACAAAGCATATGAATGAATTGAATGAATTTAAAAAAGAAAAAACATACTGTTAGAAGGAGAGGCTTGTAATACGACGCTGTGGCGCGAGTTGTATAGGATGTTACAAATTTTGTTTCCTTTTTACTTAATTAGTTTGTTTGAAAAATATTTTTTTTAATTATGAATTTTGTTGAACATTAATATTTTTTTATGATTATTGGCAAGTAGCGTTAGACGTGTGTTCATTTATTGTCGCGATGGTAACGACACGCTGTCTAATGAATACAGAGCGAGATATTTGAAGCCGGTTTCGTATTTCGTTAATAAGAAAATTGAATTGTCTCATTAATAATTTTATTTGTAACTAGCAACCCGCCCCGGCCTCGCACGGGTGCAATATGTTACACATATAAGGTTAAACCTTCCTCTTGAATCACACTATCTAGTAAAAAAAAACCGCATCAAGATCCGTTGCGAGGTTCCAAAGGTCTAAGCATGCGTAGGGGCAGACGGACAGCGGGACGACTTTGTTATACTATGCATTGATGATTGATGAGGTCTGGTACTGCATCGCTCGCCCTCGCCGATCAGGGTGCCAGGCATCACGATCGCGACGGACATCATCTGCGGCTTCCCCACCGAGACGGAGGAGGACTTCGAGGAGACGATGCGCCTCTGCGCCAAGTACAAGTTCCCCTCGCTCTTCATCAACCAGTTCTTCCCCAGGCCGGGAACGCCCGCCGCCAAGATGCCCAGGGTGAGGGATCAACTGGCGCAGACTGCATCCCGATCAGCTGCCTTATGGATCTATTTCCGTTCAGCTCTTCTTGAGAATGTTCATATAGTTTCCCAGGATCCGTATATTCACTCTTCAACAACACTCTTCGCTGTTGCACGGATGGGCAGGTCCGTCCGGGTAAGTACCACGACCTCACAGAAGACCGGCGTGAAGTGGAAGTGTTACACTTCAGGGTTACGTCTGGTGAGTGAGGTAGCCGGGGCCCACTTTATTAACAGATGGCAGCGCATCAGTAACAGTGCAGCAGTAAGGATATTGCGAGTGTCCATGGGCGGCGGTTATCACTAAATATAAAATTAACCATCATCTCGCTTGCTACCTAGGTATATACATAAAAAAATTAACGTCGTGGGTTCGATTCCCATACGGGATAACTTATTGTATTACCCACAGATAGTTGTGCGTGAAAATTATGTTTGTGAAACGTCCTTACAATACACGATAATGTCCTAAAGAATCTTCCCCTGCATTTTTTTATAAGTTATTTGAAAGCTGTTGCTTCCCATGTGTAAAAAAAATGTAAAACTAAAAAAAAGAAAGGAAAAAAAATACCACCATCACAATTACGTTACAAGTACATCCCTCGATAAGAACTGCCGAAATAGATGGACGGTAGGATTGCTAGCAATCTGGATGCCATTGCCCTATCGCAGTACATATACATCCCAGGTCCCCACCCAAGAGGTGAAACGGCGCACGAAGCGTCTGTCGGAGCTGTTCCGCTCGTACGAACCTTACGGCGACAGGCTCGGCGAGGTTCAAACGGTGCTCGTGACGGAGCTGTCGCACGACCGCGACCACTTCGTCGGCCACAACGAGTTCTACGAGCAAGTGCTCGTGCCGAAAGCTGACGAGTTCATCGGAAAGCTGCTCACCGTCGAGATAACGGGCGCGACCAAGTTCTCGATGAGCGGCAAGCCTGTCGCCCGCCCGGAGGCGGCCGGCCTGCAGCCGCCGCTGAAGAGGGGCGAGGTGTCAGGCCTGTCGCTCGTCCAGGAAAAACGCCGACAGCCCCCCCTGCCGCTCCTGTTTCTCCTGCTCGCTGTCGTCGTCAGGTTCATCTGGATGCTGTTATAGCGAATGCCCTAGCGAATAAAGTACTGTCTAACAAGTGGTGTTTTTAATTGTACCTCACGTTTCTTGGCACGCGTGCACACACTTTGGAGATAGAATCAGCTGACGCATATCTTTCGTCCTAAACTTGACGCGATAAGCGAGAGCGGAAAGTGACGAAGTGATATGTGACAACTTGTCACACTGTAACGTTAAGTAATACTTTGCAAACAACCTCTGCCCCACTGTTGAAGACGTTTTCTATTTAATATTTGTTCACCCATCAAGCTGGCAGAAAGTGAAGTGTTCTGAATATTTATTTCTAATAAATGCCATTAATTAAGTATCGACTGCATAAAATAAAAGCTCAATAGGTAGTGACTGGATCGATGGGATTAAAATAAAATCTCAGTAATCGACATTAAAATTTAATTTCACTTTATCATTGCATGCTTCTTATTTTACCGAGAACGTAATTTATGGAAACACGTTTAGTAAACACATCGCATACGCTGTAATTCCTTAGGTTTGGTAGCTTTTGTGCTTTTCAATGTTAACTGCAGTTTTCACTAACTTCCATCACCAAAACTTATTAGTAAGTAAATATTGGACAAATTCGTACTTACTTAATTGGATGACAATTCTTCTATTACCCTCAAAAATGATGTTAAATTTCAATAGCATGGGCAACGTACTTGTCTCTGTCACACATATCACGTTCTTATCTCTGTCACACATCGTGCTGTTAATGCTTCGTGCGACAGAGATAACGCTCTACAAAGGTCTCTTTTCAAAGGTCGATACGCAATATTTACGTACTCAAGGTAAATAGGAAAAAATAAAATTATACATTTATTTCGGTTATGTAGATACAACAGTACTTATAAACAATTAGAAACGACATAGTTCAGGAGGCAAAAATTTTGCCAAACAGAATTGATTGTGACAAATATTTCAGTCGAGGGTAAAATAAAACGCAGAAAATCATTTATCACGTGTTTTATTTGGACATTTTCAGATACTTTGCTTTTTTGTTTCGTTTTTTTATTTTTCCCTTGCCAATTTTTTTTACAGCGGCACAGATTATAATACAATAAATAACGTACTATACGTTATACGACGCAACGATTGTGCTTACACATTTCTTAATTATTACATAATGTTGAAACTTATGACCGAAATGGCAACTCCACATGAAACTGGCCGAATAAATTATAATGCCTTCCCGCCAAAAGTATAAGCGATCGAAAATTTTCGGTTATATTTTTAATGTGATTGAGCCACATTTAAATACATTTGGATATCATAATAGAAATGGAATTCTTTTCCAAACAGTTCCACATGCAGTTTCTATTCAAACAATAAACTTATCACTACATCGATCACTGTCTAGGTACTTCATATTAAAAACGCAGTGAACAGTGCGTAGGAACTAAATAATTATCCAAGTTAAGCACTAATTTAAGCGTCGGAAAACATAAGACTTACAACTTAAGTTCGTAATTCTAAGGCTAAAAATTAAACTTACAAACCTAAAATAAATATTATTCAAAGAAATGTACTAATTTTCCTAAAATTTGCTTAAATCCTAACGAAAGACCAAAGTAACAGGTGTCAGTTCTTATTTTATCATTTCCCTTAACAATAACGATAATTAGAGAATAAATATACACGGCGAAATATTAAATAGCATAGATACTACACATATGTCAGAATAAAATAAAAAAATTTGCACAAACAGAACGTTTACCTAATACTGTTATACAAAAAAAAAAAAAAAAAGAAACCAAAATGGCAGCATTGCGTTTCGGAATGAAAATTTTATATACATCGTTTTATGTACATATATAAGCGGCTTTGTACAGGGCTATGTGCTTGGAACACTTTGTTTATTATCTCGCTAAGTAAAAGCACCATGGTTTGTTTGTAACTGTGTAGTGGGAGCTCGTTTGTAAACGTTATAAATTGGGTTTGTTTTTTTTTTTTTCTTATTTTGTAAATGCTTTAAAAATAAGCCTTCAATACTTTTTCATATTATCAAGGTAAAAAAACATTTCCCGAAATGTTTTATTAGTCGAGGAAATTATTTAATTTAAGTACAGAAAAATTATTACATCGTTTATGAATAAAGTCCGGGGCCTGATTTATGTAAATTTTGTAAAATATATACTTAAAATCGCATTGTGCGTAAAATAACATTAAGTATTATACATTAAACATTGCGTGAAGAGTATGTAGTATTCATTTCTCACATTTACCAGGAAGAGAAAGAAAATAGTTCGAAAGTTCTAGAAATTTTAAATATATAAACCTTTACACGTATGTAAAGATTCGATTTAGTTGTTTAAATACTAAATCTAGTTTTTGGCTTTTTTTCTAATAAATAAATTTTATACAAAACGTCTACTTCTTTCACTTTGCAAATTATTTGGATATTAATCGACGATACGACGTAGAGTAAAAAACTAAAAACATAAAAGCCCCTAAGTGGATATTTTATGTAATATTTTTCATTTACTAACGTGTAATGGGTAAAGAAGCAATCGTATTTAAACCATTTGGTTAAGGAAATATTTGTGTACTTGTTTCCTGAAAAAATCTCAATTAAAAAATTTTGCACGGATTTTCAGAATTGTATGAAGACACTTATTATTGATTATATTGTCTTCATTATGGGATAATCGCTAGTAAATCGAATAAAAAATCGTCTTTATTTCATTACATGCGTTTTACAAGCTTTATAATACAGTTTAGTTTTTGATTGCGACTTTACCCGTCTAAACCAATTCGATTTCAGTCTAAAAATAAAAATACCGGTACGGTACGGTAGTACTTAGTGGTTTCCTATATTAATGCCTCATAACTTAAATTATTTTTCGCAGTTATGCCAACACAAGAATGTTACCATTGACATTTGGGCCCAATTTTCAAAAGGTTGTCAACGCATCTGTAACCCTCGGGTGTGGCAGATGTCCATGGGTGGCGGTATTCACTTAACATCAGGTGAACCTTCAGTCATTAAAAAAAAAAATTCCAGAACAAAATGGCGGCAGTGTGCGTAGAAAAACGCACGAAAACTTATTAATAAAAGAAACTAGAAACTTCTACACGTATCGATTGACTTTTGCGCATACGCTGTTCGAATTTCTTACGTTGACAGCTTCTCAATAGCGCGAATACTTATGTAGTGGTTGACGTCTGGTGTGGATCAACCGTTTTGGGTTCGAGGACCTCATTACGTATCGATTTACCCCAGTGTATGTTCTGCGATTCCAATGAATCTAAATTAATTTGATTTTCTTTTGTTAATAACGTTTATTTTTTGTCTGCGCGTATTAAGTAATTATTTTTCTTAAACAAGTTCAATTGATTCCCCTTCCAGATTATGTTAATTTATATGATAAATGTGTTTAATTTAAATTTGGATTCATTGAGAATCGCTGAAGGTGCTTTGGGCTAAATCGACAGGTATAGAAGTCCTAGACCCCGCCAAAAAAAAAAAAAATTGACCCGCCCCTCCTGTCACACACTGTATAATACGTGTACACTTACTTAAGTAATCTATAATTACACCAATTCACATACGTCATAAATATATACAAATATTTATTTAGTCGGGTCTCAGTCTATCTCAGCTTGCATTGTCTCTGTATTGATTATATGAAGTTACAAACTGTATTTTAATGTAATGAATCATTACTTAGCTATATAATGCAGTACAAATTGGATTTGAGTTTTAGTACAATATCTAACTAAGTGTTGATGATTTTCAAAATAAAATAAAATAAACGAGTCTCATCAGTCGCAGTTAAATATTCTTATACAATAGCATAATGCATATAAAAAAAATCAGCTAAGCAACTTGCATTTGGTACACCGCGCGATATAAACATTTAACACGTCTCAAATGCATTTTAATTGAAGAAAAAAAAACCGCTCCCGGAAATAAAAACAAGAGCAAAACCCGACGATCGAAGTGCATGCACAATTAAAAATTATACTTTTCGTAACTAATACTTACAGCACATTAACTCGAGAAAATAAAACTCAATATACTACAAAGTAAATTCGCCCGCGTCCCGAATACAAAGGCTCGAACGCAAACGAAAATCGACTCAATCGTCGGCGCATTAGGATTCAAAATGGCGAAGCGGAGCCCGAAGCGCGTCCGAAACGGGCCCGAGGCGGGAGCGGCGCCACGTACGTGCGTCCCGCTCGCTCGCGGCGCCCGCGCCTATCGCCGTCTCACTCGTCGGCGGCGGGCTCGGTGCCGAAGTAGCGGTCGCCGAAGTTGCCGATGCCGGGCAGCACGTAGAACTTCTCGTTGATCTCGGGGTCGAGGGCGGACGTCACGATCTTCACCTGCGGGTCAAAAGTTCGCGTCCCGTTTCGATACACGACATATGTTAACGCCTGTCGCAATTTAGTAGCAAACTTACGCGCATTAGAGTAATTATTGTAACTTTATGTAAAGTAAATAGACGTTATGTTTTTCTGACTACCGACCTATGTTAGTTAGTTTTTTTTACGTTTTCGCATTATACGCCTTCACCACGTTAATCTTTTATTTCTTATATTCCGGAATTTTCCCACATGGTCCTTCAAGCCGGATATAAAGATTGAGTGGATTTTAATTATATTGAAAAAGGATTTAGAAAAATACAAATCTGTTTAATTGTATTGCTGTGGAATCGGAGCTTCAAGTACATAAAGGATTCTTCGAGGACTTTGCACCGGTACACGGAAGCAGTTGTTAAGCAAAAATAATTGTTTTAACCCAACACTCTTATTAATCAGGTATTTTACTTAATAAAAAGGTTAGTAATTTACCTTATATAATATTTTTTGTATAATTTCGTTTAACGGTATTTTTATTGATATGTAAAATTTTTGTTGTAAGTTTAGTTTAGGGTCATTTAGTTAATTTGTATTATATACAGTACAGTTAGCGTTAAAGCTACATTAATTAACTAGGGCGGTTATATAGGCTTACTATTTTTACATTACCTGTAACTACTTTATATAAGTACTACGTATTACGGTACTTTAGAAATTACACAGTGAGGGTTGTAAATGTATTGTACTATCATTATTTGTGTTTAGTTTTGCTGCAATTATTTCATTTTTATTTTTGCTTATAGCGATTTGTAATCATATTTTGTTTTTCTCGTTTATTTATTTTTATCTTATATAACTTCAGGTTGACTTCAAACGTCTCTCAGAATGACCGAAGAAAAGGAGTTAATAAGACAGCGAGGAAGTTTTAAAGGTCGTTTGACTTTATTTACGAATTATTTAAATTCGCTTGAATCCCCGTTAGACTCATCATCGGCAAGTGAGTTGCAATTGCGCACGGGTAAGCTTATATCAATGTACGATCAATTTGACGAGGTACAGTTAAGACTTGAGTGCATCAGCGATAATATTGATACACTTCTTGAGGAGCGTAATGAGTTCGAATCTCACTATTATAAGTATTATCAAAGGCACGAAATATATTAACACATGATAAAGAACCAAATGATTCGGTATGTAGTGATAAGTGTTCCCATGTTAGTACTAGTCAACACAAGCTAGTTAAGTTGCCAACAATTCAATTGCCAAAGTTTAGTGGATCATATGAAGACTGGTTAGAGTTTCGTGACACCTTTGCCAGCCTAATTCATACAAACGACGACATAGACAATGTTAATAAATTCCACTACCTACGTTCATCCTTAGAAGGGACAGCCGCGGTGGTAATTCAATCGATTCAGTTCTCTGCGAGTAACTACAAGGTAGCATGGAATATTTTATGCGAAAGGTTCGATAATAAACGGTTGCTTATTCAAAATCATGTTTCGGTTTTATTCAATCTCGAACAAATTACAAAAGAGTCATCCGTATCTTTAAAACGTATTATCGACCAGTTAAGTAAAAACTTAAGAGCATTAGCGATCTTAGGCGAGCCAGTTAATTACTGGGACACTCTCCTCATATACATCGTCACTCATAAGTTAGATTCAAAATCTTATCGAGAGTGGGAGGAGTTTAAAGGACGTTTAGACAAAGAAAAGCCGATAAGTTTTGATATTTTTGTCGAATTTCTGCGAAATCGTGCTGATCTAATTGAAACATTAGAATTGACTCGCAGCGGAGCAGCACAGCTGAGCTCAAATAATAACAGAGCGAAAAAAAAACTATGGTATCTCTCGCGAAAGGAGCAGTTGATAGCTCAAATGTATCTACTCGTTCTACATGTTGCCCTAAATGTAACAGCGAACATAATTTAAGTAATTGTTCGCAATTTCTAGCATTAAGCTGTAATGAACGTCTTAAATTGTTGCCGTCTTATAAGGTGTGTTTTAACTGTTTTCGTAGTGGTTACTTTGCTAACCATTGTAAGAGATCGGGATGTAAGATATGTCGACGTAAACACCATACTCTTATTCATACGGCAGGTAAAACACCAAACGAACCTGGTAGTAGCAATTGGCGTATTGAACCACCATTACAGTCAGAGATCATACCTTCTAGTGCTAGTGTTACTCTTTCAGCCCGTATCGATGCTTCCGGAAGCGAACAGAGTAGTGAACAATACGACGTGTTATTGTCGACCGCGCTAATTAAGTTGCATGATTCAAACGGTCAAGAACATGTTGCTCGTGCCGTGCTCGACAGTGGAAGCACATCATGTATAATTACAGAAAGGCTAAGCCAGCAGTTGCGACTGCCTTTTTATTGTGTGGATAAGTCTGTTCTCGGTATAAATAATATGGCATCTCATATTAATAAAATGAACCGTATTTGTATACAGTCATTAGACGGAAGTTTTAAAACAAATGTGCAGTGTTTTGTTTTGCCTTCAATAACCGACAATGTACCTAGCCGTACTATACAATTGTCTGAGTTATTTATCCCGTCACATATTCGCTTGGCTGATCCTTATTTCCACATATCTGCTTCCATTGACTTAATTATCGGTGCAGATGTATTCTGGGACATATTAGGCTCTCAAAAAATTGAATTGGGCAAAGATAAACCTATTCTCCATGAGACTAAGTTAGGATGGTTGGTTTCAGGCAGGATTTATAGCACGCATATGTCTGTTTCGTCTCATAACATTCAGTGTAATTTTGTAAAAGTTAATACAGAGTCCTTTGAAGACAACATTCAAAATCAACTTGCAAAATTTTGGCGTCTTGAGGAAGTAAATTCTTCTTCATCCCACTACTCTCACGAAGAAAAATTATGTGAAGAACACTTCATTAATAATACTTTTCGTTTAAATGATGGACGTTTTTGTGTTCGCATTCCTGTGAAACAAGATCCTAACGTATTAGGCGAATCTTTTCAACGTGCGAAAGAACGATTATTATCGCTAGAGCGCAGATTCAAAAATAAACCAACATTTGGTAAGATGTATCGCGATTTCCTATCCGAGTACAAGTCTTTGGGGCATATGTCTGAATGCAAAATCAGTAAATTAACTAGCAAACCTCATTTCATTCCACATCATGGCGTCTTACGCGAAAGTAGCACAACCACTAAACTAAGAGTAGTGTTTAATGCTAGTGAGCTCACTACTTCCGGTCTTTCATTTAATTGCATACAGATGACAGGTCCCACAGTACAAGATGATTTGCTGTCTATCCTCCTCCGATTTAGGCAACATAAGTTTATCTTAGCCGCTGATATGGAGAAGATGTATAGGCAGATAGCCGTACATCCATTAGATAGACACCTACAGATCATTCTTTGGCGTGATAATACATCGGAGCCTGTCTAATCATACCAGCTAAATACCGTGACGTACGGTACTACTAGCGCTCGTTATCTTGCTACTAGATGTTTAAAACAGGTAGGTCTCGAATGCAAAGATTCAAAGATATCGGAAATAATTTTGCGTGATTTTTATGTCGACGACTTGTTGACAGGCGGTGCTGATCCCGACCAACTTAGCGACATAAAGATAAAGGTTTCGGCGGAATTAACAAAAGCGTGTATGTCATTAAGAAAGTGGAAGTCTAATTGCGCTGAGTTAATATCTGAACCCTCTCAATTATCGATCGATTTGAACATCGGATGTAATGAACCCAGTAAACTTTTAGGTCTTTGCTGGCATGCAGATTCTGATGAACTCTGCTTTCCGATTGGTTCTCTACCTGCAAGCAACAACACTAAGCGTGACATCCTTTCTGCAAAAGCTCGGATATTTGATCCATTGGGTTTGTTAGCACCCTGTGTTATAAACATGAAAATTCTTTTGCAAAAAATGTGGTTGCAAAAGGTTACTTGGGATGAGCAATTGAATCCCATTATTAGTAAAAAATGGGCAGACATAATTACGAATATCTCTTCGCTTAATTGCATCCGTATCCCGCTGGGTCGTTTGTGATCTTCATAATTCAGTGGAACTGCACATTTTTAGTGACGCTTCTGAACAGGCTTATGGGGCTTGTGCATATGTTCGTAGTTCAACAAGTAACGGTAAAGTTCTTGTGCGGTTGCTGATGGCCAAAATCCGTGTGGCCCCCATTAAGCCGATGACAATACCCAGGCTTGAGCTTTGTGGTGCTTTAACAGGTGCTCGACTTTATGAGAAGATACTCAGCTCCCTCAGAATACAGTTTGACTGTACTTATTTTTGGACATATTCCACGATTGTTTTAGGATGGTTGAAAATGCTTGCTAATAAACTTCAACCATTTGTACGCAACCGTATCGCGGAAATACTAGAAAAATCCGGAAATAGTATTTGGAGGCACGTGCCGACTAATGAGAATCCAGCGGATCTTCTATTGCGAGGCGTTGAGATTAACTCATTCCAAAATCTTCAGCTATGGTGGTCTGGTTCGAGTTTTCTCAAAGAAGATGTCTCACAATGGCCTGCTCAACCAAATAATATAAACGTGTTGCCTGAAATTCGGACGGAAGTTTCATTCAATGTTACCGAGGTTAATAAAAATGGCTCTATTTTTATAAATTTTAATCGATTTTCTAACTTTTTGAGACTTAAACGTACCGTAGCCTATGTATTAAGGTTCATAAAAATATGTAAGGCGCAAATTCCGACTACTAGTTATTTAAGTGATCGCGAACTAGAAGAATCTTTGAATGTGATTATTAGATACGTTCAAAGGGAATCGTTTTCGGAGTATACCTTACTTATTAAACAATTAGCATTACCAAAAAAGAGCCCATTAATTAAATTTACCGTTTTCTTAGACGAAAACAAGATAATTCGAGTAGAAGGTCGCTTGCATAATTCTTACTTTTCTTATGATAAAAAACATCCTATATTGCTACAGTCCACACACCGTTTCACTCGGTTATTATTTGAGTTTGAACATAGGAATTTAATACACACGGGACCCCAATTACTCTTAGCCTCTATCAGAGAAAAGTATTGGCCGATCGGCGGTCGCAATTTGGCGAGGAAATGTTATCATCAGTGCGTGCGTTGTAGTCGCATGAGAGGTAAAGTTGTAGCTCCACTGATGGGTAATTTACCACACTTACGCGTTCAAGCAAGAGGTTACCCTTTCGAAAACGAAGGCGTAGATTACGCAGGTCCTATTTTATCTGCTAGCCGTCAAGGTCGTGGCTGCCGTTTAGTAAAGGTCTATATAGCCGTCTTTATATGCTTTGCTATTAAAGCAATTCATCTAGAGTTAGTTGGCGATTTAACTAGTAATAATTACATGCTGGCCTTACGCCGATTCATGTCAAGGGGAAAACCAAACAATATTTATTCCGACAACGGTACCTCGTTTGTTGGTGCGTACAACGATATTTCCAAGTTTTTAAAATCCAATTTTGATTTGCTATCGGAAAAAATGGCTAATGAAGGGATAACTTTCCATTTTATTCCTGCATATTCTCCGCATTTCGGTGGTCTCTGGGAGGCGGGTGTTAAGTCAAAAAAATGTAATTTGCTAAGAGTGCTGGGAAATTGTAATCTCACTTATGAAGAGCTTAACACTACATTGGTGCAAATTGAAGCAATACTCAACTCAAGACCACTCACACCAATGTCGTCGGATCCAGATGATTTAATGTCACTAACACCTGGACATTTTCTCATTGGCCGGCCACTCACCGCGTTGCCGAACAGAGATTATCAATCCCATTCCACGAAGACATTAACACGCTTTCAACGGATTGAGCAATTACGCCAACATTTTTGGACCAGATGGTGTAAAGAATACGTTTCAGAACTCCAACAACGAATGAAATGGCGATCCAGCAACAACGATCTTAAATTGAATTCCCTTGTCCTGATAAAAGAAGATAAACCTTCCACCTTTGAAATGGAAGTTGGGCCGAGTTGTTGCAGTTCATCCCGGATCCGATAATATCAGTCGTGTGGCGGATATCAAGACGTCTGCTGGAATAATTCGACGGGCGTTTAGCAAAATATGTCCATTACCTGTTTCTTCTGGTTGAAAGTGGTGCTTTCAACGCCCGGGGGCATGTTAACGCCTGTCGCAATTTAGTAGCAAACTTACGCGCATTAGAGTAATTATTGTAACTTTATGTAAAGTAAATAGACGTTATGTTTTTCTGACTACCGACCTATGTTAGTTAGTTTTTTTTACGTTTTCGCATTATACGCCTTCACCACGTTAATCTTTTATTTCTTAAATTCCGGCAATTTCCCACAACATAGAAAAAAGGAATAGTGCGCGGAGTCCCTCTGTCTCTTTCTATCCCCCTCCCCCAGGAGCGTTGAACGTTTAACGCAACCTTGTTGGAAGTCGCATTAGAAGTTTCAGTTGAAAAATGATTAACGAAACAGTGCTTTTATACCTCCTCTCCGTGGTAGCGTTAAACGTTCAACGCAACCTTGTTGGAAGTCGCATTAGAAGTTACACTTCAATAAACGATATCTCCGAATTTTAGCTAAGGACCATCTCGATCAAGTATGCTTTCAAATTCGATTTAAAAATACCTTTACTCAAATAGACGCTTGCGCGTTTTTATGAGGCGAGATTTACATAAACAACTAATACACAAGTTCGTAAGTAAGTTACCACCGGTCGAACGGAACAAAATCGCACCTTAATCGGTCCGTTCGTTTAGAAGCGACAATAGAACAGACAGTCACACAGATGCACATACAGATATGTCAAACTTATTTATTAATTATATTATTAACCCTTCTTTTCACGTAACCACAATAGAGTTTTGCTCAATTTTTTACAATTTTCTAAAGTTGCCAAGCGAGCAGTCGTGGACGCTTACAACATCTGAGGCGTTGCACGTGCGTTGCGCACTTTCAAAAAAGGGCCCGGTTACCTCACACCATAGACAAAACTCGGTATTGTGCTGGCATTAAACTTTCGCGTTTCGCCTGGCGAGTGAGGTAACCGGGACCCGAGTTCCCGAGTCTTGTAGGCGCCTAAATGCTTACCCACAACTATTTTAGTTACTTAGTTAGACACAAGTGAACCGCCAGGTCGCAAAGGAAAAAACAAACCGCATTCAAGAGGTGAGTTGGGCGCAGAAGTAACCGACCTGCGGAAAAGCGTAGGCTATCGAGTGGACCCCTATCTCGGCCATGAGCAGCGAGACGAGGCTGATGTTGTGCTCGGGCACGTCGTGGTCCAGCAGCACCCGGATGGCCATGATGGCCGCCGCGCCGGTCGCCACCGTCGCGTCCATCAGGATCACGCGGTAGTCCTTTATGTCCTTCGGCAGCCGCAGGTAGTACAGCTGCGCAAATCAACACGACTGCATCATAGACGGTAACAAACGTGGACCTGACACGCACCTTGCGGCACACCTCTAATATGCATTTCACATATTTTATGTCAGAGACGTTAATAAAGGTGGAACATATGCATTTCACATATTTTATGTCAGAGACGTTAATAAAGGTGGAACTGATACGCACCTTGCGGCACACCTCTAATATGCATTTCACATATTTTATGTCAGAGACGTTAATAAAGGTGGAACTGATACGCACCTTGCGGCACACCTCTAATATGCATTTCACATATTTTATGTCAGAGACGTTAATAAAGGTGGAACTGACACGCACGTTGCGGCACACCTTTGATAATTATTGAGTAGTCTACTACAGACGTTAATAAAAGCGGTCATAACACGCACCTTGCGGTACACCTCTGCTAAATGTTACATAAATCATTTATATAGGAGACATTAACAATCCTGGCAGGCACATTGCGGAACATCTCTTTTAATCACGCTCGATCGTGATCGATTAATTGATATTTTAACATAAGAACTGATTATACAACTTAAAAGTGCAGGCATTTTTGTAGAACTATAACCGACGCTAAAAATATTTATCAGTGATTGGAGTTCTATATATGAAGGCTCGTCGCGTAACGATGAGAAAGAAGTATACAATTTATATTTCACACCCACCCACTTTAACGTCAGAAAAAAAATGGACACCTCCGTTCTACACAATTTTTTTAGGTATTAAAAACATTGCCCTCACTTTCGGATAACATTATCCTGTGTTGTAAGGACGTTTTACAAACATAAATTGCACGAGGACAAACACCCAAATGCGAAACAACTATCTGTGGGTCGCACAAATAGTTGTCTCGTGTGGGAATCGAACCCACGACCCCCGACGCCGAAGCCATTGGCATACAGAACAATAATCTGCCTTAATCTGTTTGGAAATGACTCTTGCTCTGCACTTGCAAGACCCCTGGCTGCTGCTGATTTTATACCCAAATGAATGTGTATAATTGCATTAAAAAAAATTTTATACAACAAAAAGAACAAGACCGCAGAGTTTTGTGCCGGTTCTACTCTGTGCAGGTCTAGTTTAGTGAACCGGTGGTAGATTTTTGTTGACGTTCAATAAGAGCTTAAGTTAGGTCTATATTGAATAAATATACTTTGACTTTGAATCGATGGGTACGATCGGGTACCGAGGACAACGTATCAGAGAATTGTCTCTTGACTTTCATACACTATATGTATGTATGTATGTATATTCTGATATGTGGCACGCCGTGGGAGAGTTTCTTAAATGAGCACGCGAGAGGTATTTTGTTACTCACATCACCTGTTCAGCTAAATATGAACATTTAACAAATAACAAGAAGGCGCACAACGGAGACCGATATGGTTGCCGTGAAGACCTTTTTCCACGTAACCAGTTTAAAAGATACGAACACGGTGTCAGCTTAGTCCGGTGAAGTAACAGACAAATGTTTGTATCTGAAAGGTCTTTGTACCGTCGAGTGCCAGAGACCAGTTGCAATGGCTTTCTGTGGACCTGCATACCTCGGGCTCGTCGGTCTCCTGGTTGGTCTGGATGAGGATCTTCCCGATCCTGATGTCCTTGCAGACGTCGCACACCGCCTGCTCCATGGTCTCGCCCGCCCGCAGTATGGACACGCCGCAGATCTTCTCCACGTCGCATTTGCGACCTTAAGACCGAGCACTAAGGTCAGGAATGCAACGCACGAAGGGTATTTAGCTTGTTTCACGAAGTAGTTCCGTGAAGGTGATAAATTTAACTGTAGAAAGTTGTACAGATCAATGCAAATTACAGTTATATGTGAATGAAGTGCTTATACTTAAAATTTAAATCGATATATGGAATTTATGGTAAGAAACGTAATGAAAACAGTTAAATGGAGTAAAATTCTAAACAGCAATGATAGACGGGCAAATTAATATCACTTGCGTGGGGTACAATAAAGATTGAAGATTGATTTAAATATAAATATTCAATAACAGAAATAAATATTTTATTTTATTATTAGATAGTAAAAATAAACAAATAAATATTTATTTTTAAGATAGGAAGCGTTATAGTTGCGTAGGCAAAATAGTGTTGTTTTAAGCAAACTGTAGTATTTAGTATGCATTTCAAATAAGAATGTGCCCCCAATGACCTCGATCGGTCAAAAATCATTAAAAAAGTATAGATAGCAACAAAACAATTAATTTCGGGTTAATATTTTTAGCAATATGTAGGGGTGGAAGCAATCGTGGTACTGTGTAGTCGTTAAGAGCGACGTAGTAGGCGTAGATGCGTAGAGGGCGTAGAGTGATAGAAAGCGGCGTAGAGTTATAGAGAGCGGCGCAGAGTTAAAGCGAGCGGCGGAGAAGTAGAGACCGATGTAGAGTGATAGAGAGAGACGTAGAGCCAAAGAGACCGATGTAGTGATAGAGAGCGGCGTAGACTTAGAGAGACCGATGTAGAGTAATAGAGAGCGATTTAGAGTAATAGTGTGCGGCGTAGAGTTATAGAGACCGATGAAGAGTGATAGAGAGTTATAGGGGCGTAGCTACCTTTGTAGGTGAAACCCTGCGGCGTGTCGACGTCCGCCTCCGAGTAGGGCAGGAGGGAGAGTGCGAACTCTATCACGAGCCGCATCAGCCGCTTCGAGTAGAAGATGAACTCGTCGCGGGACGTGTCCTTGTTGCGGATGAACGTGTGCAGCCCTTGGACCTGAGGGTCACCAGAGCTCTTTTTTTGAGGTGGTTCAACTGAAGTTAAAAGGATACCGTAGCCCATGGACATCTACGGAATCGGATGGCTGGATGATGCGTTGACAACCTTTGATAGAATGGCCCCGGTTACCTCACTCACCGTACGAAACGCGGAAGTTTACTGACTCCAAATGCGATGATCTTTTTTTTTATGTGAGAAGGTGGTAAAGGAGTCGGCGGTTCGTCTGATATTAAGTGATAAACACCACCCATGGACATTTGCGCCATAGGGTTGCAGATGCGTTGCCATCTTTAAATAAAGTGGGGTCCGTTTACCTCACCAGACGAAACGTAGAAATATAACACTTCACGCCGGCCTTCTGTGAGGCCTTGGTTCCCCGGACGGACCTGCCCATTAGTCTAACAGTTGGATGGCCCTACCACAGTTAAAAGCGGTTATACGGTTATTTGACCAGTTACGGACCATATTCATACCTGAGGAGTGTCTTTGAGAACGTAGAGAGAGTCAGGCAGGGGCTGGCCGATGTGTGCAACAGCCAGCTTTTCCCTCACCTTGAAACCGCGCTGTAATAAATAAACAATAAATAAGTGGAAATAGTGTTAGTAGTGGTACTAACAAGAAGTGTACTAACAACAAATGTTTTAATGTCAATGACTGCCTACCACTTATAAAATAACAATTTAAAAAATATAAACGTAGCAAATAAATGTTAATTAAGACAGAGGAAGAGAAAAATAGTGAGATTTATACAGAAACATGTAGTTGTAAAGGTAAGTGAACGCGTGTGTAAGTTGTACACGTTGGTGTACGGCGCATCAGTGTGTGTTAGTGTGCGTGTGTAAGTTGTACACGTTGGTGTAATGGGCATCAGTGTGTTTGTGTGCGTGTGTAAGTTGTACACGTTGGTGTACGGTGCATCAGTGTGTGTTAGAGTGCGTGTATAAATTGTACACGTTGGTGTATTGTGCATCAGTGTGTTTGTGTGCGTGTGTAAGTTGTACACATTGGTGTATTGTGCATCAGTGTGTGTTTGTGTGCGTGTGTAAGTTGTACACGTCGGTGTATCGTGCATCAGCGCGTGCGTGTGCGCCCCTCTCACCAGCTGCAGCTGCTTGTGCACGTGCTGCACGATGAGGTGTATCGCGACCTTGTTCTCTCCGCCGCGCGGCACGATGATGTCCGCGTGCGCCATGCACGGCGCTATGTAGCTCTGGTAGGCGGGCTTCACGTACGTCATGTACTGCTTGAGCACGCCCTCCAGCTCGCGACCGCGCTGCACGATGTCCCTGGCGGGCGGACGCGGGTTCGAAACTTGACGACACCGAACCGTGGCGCAGCGGCAGAAGTCAATATCTGCGCCACGGACCTCGGTTCGATTCGCACACAGGACAACTGCATATGTATATGTGAACTACAGATAAATTCTTAATAGTTCGAGATTCGGCGCCGGGGCTCGTGGGTTCGATTCCCTCGCGAGTCAAGTACGTATGCATGTGTGTGACACACTGATAATCGTTTTGGATCTGGGTGTTGGTACTACAATAGACCTTCTAGGTCGCAGTGTTCGTTGAACCTTGCTACCCAACTGTGGAAGGGCCACACAAAATACAATGTTCTAAACTAATCCTGCACCTTCGGGGTTACGTGTCTAAGTGCTCCAGCCACTAGGCTAAGGCCGACATCTTCACCACGGGAATCGCGTCTTTTATCTACTTTGCTTTATTCCGTATTTAGCAGCGCTTGAGGCTACGTTTGTAGCATGGTGGGGAACCAACTTAGCCCCGGCGTGGACATCCACGACCGGGGAGGTCGCGGATTCGGTCAGTTTCCGGAATGCAAGGACCTGTTCAAAGGATTCCATTTGAACTTTCATTCAACATATTCGTTACGACGAGAGATCGAAACAAACACACAAACAATCACGGTATTTACGATATCGGCGCTTATCTAAGAGTGCCGTCATGTATCTAAGAATCGTAGGGCTTCACCTGCGCAGACGCCTGGCGAGGCGGATGTCCGCGTCCGTGTCGACGAACACCTTCATGTCCAGCATCCGCACCACATCCGCATTGTAGAACGCCAGGATGCCCTCGAAGATTATCACGTTGGCCCCGTACATAGTTTTCTGCCGACGGAACATTTTAAAAGAAAAACGCAAATATTGGTCCTTCGTGCTCGATATTGTCTGAAGGTATGCAGTTAATAGTAATTAGCAGAAGAATGGAAAAGGTAATCTAATGCTAGTAGTGTAAAAAGAATGGAATGTTATTACAAATGTATCGGATTAAATTTTTCAGTATGCGAAGAACGGCGAAGTAGGACATGATTATTTATGTATGTAGGGGTGTGTGTTCCGTGTATATATGACTTAGACGAAGTAAGGAGGAATTGGAAATACGCGAATTTAATTTTTTTGAGGGGGATCTTGTAAGAACCTTGTCTCTTGCGGGAGGGGGGGGGGGGGGGGGAGGTCCGTTAGGGCCGCGCGCACATACTCACGGTGCGGTTCTCGCGCGAGTGCGTGACGTAGTTGTAGACGGGCACCTCGACCTTCTTGCCCTCGCGCAGCCGCTGCAGCACCTTCACCAGCAGCTCCATGTCGAACGCGTCCGGGTGGTCGAAGTTGTACTCGTTGCGTTGCGCCGCCTGGTGCTGCTTCTCGTTCAGCACCTGGTGCCGAGGGGGGGGGGGGGGGGGGTTTGATCTTTAGTCGAACTGTATCGCTAAGTAGACGCTTTAGAACAAGATTAAAATTCAGTCAACAGTTTAATGTTGACGGATACTCTAGCGTTTTGTTCATATTTTAAGTTAAGAAGTTTTAAATACCTTGCAAAATTCAAGGTCACGAGATTGACATTTTTAGGATGATATGATATTCACTTTAGACCTATCAAGTGCTCTCTGCATTAATTTTTACAAAATGGATGGAATCGAGCAGTTTTATAGCTGTGGGTCTAACAAATACTTGCAATAGGATTAAATGGTTTTGAAGCATTTTTCCAAATATCGAAAAGAGCCGATAATTCGCTTACTTTGTAGAAGGAGTCCATACTGACTATGGTGACCCAGGGTATGTTCAGAGATTCGATGATTTTCGCGGCGACTGTCGTTTTGCCGGACGCACTCGCGCCGCAGATGCCTGCAAAGGATAATGGAATAATTTTCGTGATAATTAGACAAGAAAAGACAAAAACGGACTTTCAATTAGAGAGCTGACTATTATTAAATGCGTTTAATTTCAACGCAACTGAACGAATTTAATGTTAGTGGATTCCTTGTTGAACTCTGAGTGAAGAAGAGTGTAGAAACACAACAAAAAACATTGATTAATTTCTAACATTCACCTATTTAGATACATCTACATACCTATCAACCTTTTCAGCAACGGCACGGTATAGGCGCGATGTCACTTAGAAGGAAAGATTCAATTGCAGACTCATTGTGGTTGACAGCAGTGAGGCGACACACCTATGGAATGGGGTCGACCTATCAACATTTTCAGGAACCGCACGGTTTGATATCACCTAGGAGAAATTCCCTACTGCAGACTCATTAGGGTTGACAACAGTGAGGCGACACACCTGTAGAATGGGGTCGACCTATCAACATTTTCAGCAACGGCACGGTATGATATCACCTAGGAGGAATTCCCTACTGCAGACTCATTAGACAGAGACTTTTTTTGACAAAGACTTAGTTGCAGACTTATTGTGGTTGACGGCAGTGAGGCGACACACCCATGGAATGGGGTCGACCTGTCAACATTTTCATCTTCACAACTCACCTATGAGGAACGGCTCGACCTCCTGGCCTCCCGTGCAGTTGTACCAGGGCGGGCGGCCGGCTGTGTATATCGTCCGCCTGTCCGCGTGCAGTATGCTCTCGGCAGCGGTGCGCTTCGTCGACTGCGACATGGATGCGGTGCGGACGCGGCGAGCGCGCGGCGACTTCGCGATGTTCGAGCCTGCGGTGGGCGAACGCGGTTATTTCGTCCACTCGATCCGACGGATACTATTCATAATTTCAGCCTCTGAGTCCGCTGCTGAACATATCCCTCCCCATAACTACTATATACACTAATTAATGGATACTTTTACAGTGATGAAAACGTGTGCAATGCGTTCAGTTGATTTCATTCTCAATCTTACAAGCGGTTCAGGGGTTGCTAAGTAAAAAGGAACGTATAGGTTCTGTTCCAAAGTATTTGGAAACTTTTCTTTTATTATTGCGATTCGTTGTGGCTATGACTGTGGTTTTGTTGTAGTGGGCGTTGTTTTGCAATCCAAGTATGCGGGTTCTAGTCCCACTACGGTGCGGAAATGGGTTTTTAAGCTTTTAGTATTTTCGTACAAGATAACTGTCGTTGTTTCACAATCATCCTCAGCATGAACGTCAAACTTCACAGTGCGCTTTGGGACTTACCCCAAAAACTCAATGAAACGTGACAGCGTTAGCCGGGTGTAATTGGTAACGTGGTAGGACCACGCAAGTGTCCACAGTTGGACGAATAGGCAGGGTCGTCCGTGCAATAATCACAACCTCACAGAAAACCGGCTTGAAGTGGAAGTATTGTACTTCTGCGTTTCGTCTGGTGAGTAAGGTAGCCCCCCCCACTTTATTAAACGTGGCAACGCATCTACAACGCTATGGGTGTTGCACATGTAAATGGGCGGCGGTTATCACTTAAAATCAGGTACAGCGCGACCTTCGCACATAAAAAAATCCTAGTCCTACCCCTTTGGGGTTAAAATTGATATAAGCTTGCACTTTATGTTGTGTATCTCATCGATATTGCTGGACTTGGTAGCTTGGGACGGTTCCCCACCTAATCCCCTGGTACGTGAGTAAGTTGAAAACATACTAGCTCAATAAAAACCCCACTCAGTGTTAAAGTAAAAACTACTTTGTTTACGAAATGCTAAATATGTGAATAATAGTTAATAGCTAACTGTTACTAGATTAACATCTAAAGTGCTTTTTGTGTGATGTTTTTGATTCATGTGATGGGGAGAGGTAAGCGAACAGGCGGTTCACCTGATGGTTAAGTGATTACCTCCAACAATGCATCTACATCACCTGTGGGGTTACAGTTGCATCGCCAACTTTTAAAAATGTGGGTCTCGGTTGCACTAGAAAAACCTTAATTATCGAAATTAAAAAAAAGACGAGCGAAAATGCCAACATGCGAAAGAAATTAATTATCTGCGAAAAAATAGCGGATATTTTCAAACGAATACACACATGAGAATACGCTAAAGTTAAACTAAAGTCCGATGGTCGGTCTACATTATGTGTGTAGTATTTTTTTATATGGCTCTTATGGCTCTTATTTCGAAAAGTGAGAGATAATGTAATTTATAAGGTTTATTAATTAATAAAAAAAAAATAATTAAAAAGTGGACCAAATCAAAACCAAATCAGACACAAAAAATTTCATCAAAATCGGTCCAGCAGTTTAGAATTATATATATATATTTAGCATGGAAGAATTATAAAGATATACATTTAAATAAAATAAGGTTATATCTATGCTAATGTGCCCTCTAAAACAATAAAGGCATAATGTCGAGGACTATTAGAGTGATATATAGTTATGTTTTATTCAGAGTAGATCATTTAAATAATGTCTAATGAATGTAACATTTATCCTTGCCGCGCTGCTTATTTCAGTCCACTTTTTTTGAAATGGAAAAATCCGCTGTGTTCATAACGTTTTCTTAGATAGATACATTTGCTCAGTGGTGAAGAATAATAGAAAATCGCATGTCTACATGAATATCCGATTAGTTTTGAATTAAACATAATTCTAGTGAAAAAGTGACGGCCCATTTATTAATGTCTTGTTTTTCGAGGTGTTCTACTAAAACTTTGTTTTAGGTCATTTACCTGACTGCGCGGAGCAAAGGAGGGTAATGCATGAGGGTATGCTTTGTGACGCTGTAGAGACCAATATCGTAGGTCGATGTTGATGATTCTTACGTCAATAGAATTTTTTAATCTTGTGATTACCAAGGACTTATCATCAAAATTCAATATTCCATTAAAACATTTTTTTTTCCAAAAATTTTTGTTATTATGCATTAGATATCACGATTTTTAATTAATAGTTTATGAATGTTTTTTTATTTCTTGTTTCTTTTTATTTTTATGAATTATCAAGGTTGTGGTTCACGTAATTTCCTTATACGATGGATATACATAAAACCAGTGATGTTGCCAGTTACTGCGCACAAGATCTAGGAGAGTGGGTTTGGATTACCATACTTAAAAGACGAAACGCAAGTTAATGGCAATCTACGATGGTATTCTAGATATCAGGGACTTACCCGGAATAGGAGAGACCCCACAGTTGTTTTTGATACCCTTGGCGGTTATCACGCAACATTATAAACAAAATTATATGGGAGGTTCCCCATAACAATCCTATCTTCATAAGGAACTTAATCCAAATTTAGTCTTCTCTCATAAATATATACATACACATACACACAGAAACACGCACACGTGGAGGGCAAGATAATAAATAATCGCGCGTCAAAAATTTGCGGGTGGTCCTACAAACGAAACTACGTCTTTGTGTTATGAATGAAACCAAAATGCATCGTTGCACTGTTAAGCCATTAGTAAAGAACCATTGCGTCCAATCTACAGTTAAGGCCCATTTACACGGTGCCAGTTTCTTGCCTGTTGTATACAATTAAATTGAAGCAATAAATAAGTTGCATGGTCTAAACAACAAATGGTCTAACCAATTATTGCGCGCAATTTATTGCATTCAATTATTGCTCTTGCATGTACAAGAAAATGGCATCGTGTAAATGGGCCTTTAGACACAACACGACACTGTCTGCACATATGATCTCGAAAACAAGTTTGGCGTCGTGTCTAATTGCTATCCGGTTGCGGGTTCGATTCCTGGACGATGTGTGCCCTCCAGACAATTACTGCCAGTGTCTTATATACGATTTTTTACTAAATACGCTAACGCCCCCATCATATCTTACTCAACAGCAGATACGTAATACAAAAATGGAACAGGTCTAACTTTGGAAAACTTTCACGTTTACTCGAATTAGACTTGTTGCATGCCCGTTATCATCATCAAGGGCAACATTATTACGCAATTTTTTCATCGCCGAAAACTTACGAAACGCTTGAACTATACATCTACTACTACCAGAGGTCAGTGGCGCAGTTGCCGAGGTATTGGCTTCGGCGTCGGGGGTCATGTGTTCGATCCCCAAACGGGACAACTATTTGTGTGACCCACAGACAGTTATTCCGAATCTGGTTGTTTGTACACGTGAAATCTACGTCTATAAAACGTCCTTACAACACAGGATAATGCTATCCTAAAGGGCAGTGTTTAAAAAAAAGAGAATATAAAAGTCGTAGAGCCCGGCGTTAAGTGTAAGTGTTATATTTTGGGGTTTCGTTTATCGAGTTAGGTGAGGTAGCCGAAGCCCACTTTTAAATATCGTCAACGCATCCGGAACCGCCCATTACCCGTAGTAGTCTACGGATCTCAGTAATCACTTGACACCAGGCGAAGCGTCTGCTCTCTGGTCGGCTTATCAGAAAAAAAAAAAAAAACAAAGGCATGGAGAATGGCAAATTTTTATGGTATTGTCCAAATGCTGCACCAAGATATTCCGAATACGAACAAGGTGGAGGTTTGACGGTGGTAGGGCCACGCAGCGGCCTCAGCTGTTGCACGAATGGGCAGGCCCGTCCGGGTAAGTACCACGACCTGACAGAAGACCAGCGTAAAGTGGACGTGTGACAAATACTTTCGCGTTTCGTCTGGTGAGTGAGGTAGACTTAACATCAGGTGAACCGTCTGCTCGTTTGACAACTTTTCACATAAAAACAAAAAAAAAAAATAAAGGTATTGATGTCCGTCGTTTGTCGTATATTTGTGTGTTAGACTGTTCCGTAACAAAGTCGGACCGATCGGAGCCTCCGGGTGGAATTAAGGAAAAACGACGAAAGTAACTTATCACCAATATTTAATAGCTATTTAGCTAATTAGTTGATACCCTGAACTTTCTCAGCGTTGCCTACTGTATTAACAACTACAATGGTTGTCAATTTCTTCACGGCAAGGAACAGCGCCGGATTTAGAGGTCTGAAGGCCTCGGGACAACAAAGGCCCCAAATTTTTTTTAATATTTAATGTAAAATTTTTCTGTTAATATTTAATGTAATCATGTTTGTACAAAGTACTGTGGATAAAGGTAAAGAAGGTAAACGCGAAAAAAATATGAAAGGTAAAGTTGTTTACTAGTGTTTACTAGTCTGAATTTAATTTGTTTTTTGCAAATTTTCTATTGTGTGGAGGCCCTGGGGCAGCAGCCCCGATTGCCCTCCCCTAAATCCGGTCCTGGCAAGGAAACACACATCAATGAACATGTAGTGCTTATAAAAATGTTTCTTAATACTTTAATAACTTTATATTACATGAAGAAATTTTTTTCTAGATAAGGGCCAAGTGACTAAGAAATAAAACGTAGAATAATTCATTGAAATCTATTCAGTAATTTTTCAGCAGACTGCAGACGTCTATGATTTTATTTATATAGAAGATACATGAATAGTAGTTCCAAGAAAACTCAGAAATATGTTATTTGGCTTGCAACGTTTTTTACGCAATCTAGTTCCATGAAGTGTTTGGATGGATGCTGTGATGACGTCATGCTTCAGCGTGACATGTCGCCGAGAATTGCTCGTGCAAACGTAAATGCCCGTAAAATTATGAATGCTCTATCGCAAATAGTTTATCGCATTGGCATACGATATTTATACAGCCAAGATCAGTTTAGTAACCTTAAATCGGTTACTACAAATTCTATTGACTTTACTAAAATATATAATATTCTTTACTTAACATTACTCAACTTACAGGACGGGAAGAACGTATCTATTTTATTATGTACATATGTATTAAAAATAATGTAAAAACTCTTATTTGTTATCAAATGTGGGTGCACTACGGAGCTAAACAAATAATATAGAAGAACAATCTATTTCAATGATTGGTAGTAACTCTTTTTAACTGTTTGATTCTCTAGCGAGTCATCTACTTTGCAGACAAAAAAGTTTCACTTACTTATAACTAATCCATCGGGCGAAACGATAACTGCCACACACATTTAAATATAAAATGGACATTTAATAGACCAGTAAATAAATAAAAAAAAATTAACACAAAATCCCTATGTACTTTTATATTTCTTGACTGCCCATTTGTGCAACAGTCTTTGCTGTTGCACAAATGGGCAGGTCCGTCCGGGGAAGTATCGCGACATCACAGAAGATCGGCGCCAAATGGAAGTGTTATACTTCTGCGTTTTTATCTGGTGAGTGACGTAACCGGAGTCCACTATATTAACAGGTGGCAACGCATCTGCAACTCAACTGGAGTTTCAAATGCCATGAACGCGGATCATCACTTAACCTTCTCACATAAAGAAAAGAATCGTCAAAATCGATACACTCAGTCGAAAGTTCTGAGATAAGAAGCATTAAAAAAATACAGTCGAATTGAGACCCTCCTCCTTTTTTGAAAGTCGGCTAAAAAGTTGTAGTGTGTTATTAACTGAACAACATCTTACATTACTAAATAAACTATTCCTTTTGTAGAATTCAAAACAGTGTTGCAGGAAGAAACCTACGATCCTATACAGACAAATGTCTGTGAAAGAAATTGTATCGGCTGGTTATTCTATCATAAGAATAAAAAAAAATAAAGCAACAGCCAATATCCCCCTGCTGGGCAGAGGCCCCCATTGTACAGTATTAGATCACATTCCACCACGCGACGCCACTGCGGATTGGAAGACTTCAGATATCTTCGAAATTCGTGATTGAACTCAGGTTGCTCAAGTATACTGAATTAAAATCGAGCGCCCGGACAGTGAGCTATCATGGCTCATTGACTCAAAACTATTGTCTAACAGAAATATACACAAAATTAAAGGTTGAATTCCACTAGTAAACTAGTTATAAATAAAACTGTCTTTTACCTGTGGACGGTGGTCGGTAGGGCCTGACATTGGGCACAGTGGTGGGCGACGCCGGGGCGCGAGTGTAGTCTTCTTCATCTAAGAACACCTGTTCGCTCAGCTCCAGCGCGAGCTCCGTATCACTGGGGCGGGAGACACACGTACGTTAGGGCAAGGCGTACTATACACATAAGGGAAACTGCAATGCCCCCTCCACCGGCTACAGAGCAATTTAATTTAACTCTCAATTGGGGCCAGCAATGCTGCACTCTAATTTTGTGCAAGTACAAATAATACAGTGTTAATTGCCCACGACTTCCGAAGAGGAGCTTTAACTTTCTCAATTCAAAAAGTCTGCTCGCAGATGTTCATTCCATTTCATGTCAATGTTAGGCTTACTTCTAAATCCTGTTAGCTGAAGTCGTAGTAATAACCTAGGCCTAAATACGTGGACGCGTGTATAATTAATACTTCATTATTGTAAAATCACTTGCAGACATGAATAAGTAGGTATTTATTTCAATCTGTACAGTATGTCATTGCCAAATGCCACAAACAGTATAAAAATGAGCAAGTCCATAAACCTTGATTTTGCTTTTAACAAAGAAAGTGTTATGCCAGTCTTTTTAAATTCATTCATTTGCAATATGATTAGCTAGAACTAGCAATTCTAAACAATTGATATTGGTTAACACAACAATAGCTGCTGAAACATGACAAAAAAGTTCATGAAACACTAAACTTTCAAAACAATTGACAACCATTCTCAGCCTGATATTTCAAAACCCATAATTGTTTCATATAACACCAACACATGGGAATACAATTTGAAAACTACTACGGACCTCGAAATTTTTACTTAATGCAAAAGGGTTTAAAGGGACTGGTGGTTTTTATACATATTACCTTTTTTTACCATGTACTGAACTGGTACTCCTATATAACATTGGACCAAGTGAGGTCTCATTAAAACAACACATGTTGGATAGGACTCAGTTTTAAAATAAGTATGGTCATATGACATAGATTAATTATGTAATAGATAGGTAGAAAATTTTTAGGATTTAAAAATGTTTATAGGCAATTCATAACACTGCTAAAATAGCTGCTTTCATAGCTTTGCACAACATTTGATTGCAGTTCAATGTTACAAAAAAGAAATTAGTGATTCAAATTTTAAAGCCTTGAATGGATATGTGAATAAATTCAAGCAATATCTAGATGACTTAATAGCAGAATTAATTGAATTAATCTGCTGCCCACTTTATTCCAGTTAATGGCAAGCAACTAGTAAACTCCTAAAACTTGATATATATCTATAGGCAGCAAGTTATATCAAATTGTACAGATCTATCTTAATCCAAGATCATTGCTTACGCCCAGTTTCTGAATCACTGATCATCATAGATGCCAACTAATCAGCTGTCAAATGGCTTTTCAAATTTAATTTTAGTTGCCTAAAGAAAAGCTTGAAAAGCCATTTCACAACTGATTAGTTGACATCTACGATGATCAGTGTTTCAGAAACCGGGCGTTAGAAGTGTAAATGTAAATATCAACAGAAGAGAAACACTGTTATGCATTAAAGATTCTCATCATAAATGTGTCAAGTGTAGTTATTAGTCTTTTATCTTTATCCTTTAAATTCATATGAAAAAATGCATAAACAAAATTGCCAGTCACTGTGGATGAGACAATACATTTGCCATATGTATGTTTTGCTTCAACATTTTCAGAGAGAATGATTGATGTTTAAAAACAATCTACTTGCAGAGTTGCAAGGCCATTTTACTGTTGTTGTTTGTTAATTAGTTTTTATATTTATTTATTTATTTATTATTTATATAATAATAAATTTTATTAATGTTCAATTTATGATCACTATATGGCTTTTAAAAATGGTTTTCATTGTTGAAGTTGAAATATGAAACCGAATTTAATAAACTTTAACAGTAATGCACTAATTGTAGTTAAAAAAAATAGAAAAACTTCATTACACCTATTTAATAAACATGCAATTTAGCTGATAAAGATCCATGCATACCCAAAAAATAATAAAAATGATTTCTAAATGAGTAGGGAAGTTTGTTTTCCTTTGAAGAAAATATACAAAATTAAATTGTTATAACAGGCATAAAATTATACCAAAAAAATTGGTATATATTCAATTTTTTTGGTATAATTTTAAGGTATTCTTAAAAGTATTTCCATGAAACACACAGTACAATTCTTGTATAGTACATCAGATTGAATATCTGAGGTCCAATGTCATTATGACCTTATAATCTGTTATATAAGGCCATATCCTTTTTATGTCATTATTTGCCTGAGTTTTTTAATCAGCACACAATGTCAAGGTAATAATTAACTTGCATATAGTGGTTGATGAATTTTAAGCATAAGTTGAAACTATTTAATATCTTTTAGCTCTATTTTATAATAACTAAGCATAAAACAATTATTACAGGGTGTTAAAATTTATATTCTAGTTATGTTAACATTATGAATATTTGACATACATGTCACATTTTCAGAATGTTCAGATAATGTAATTTTTTAAGGCAAAGTGGTTGGCAGTTTCCTTGGTTTATTTTGGAAGAAGTTTGTGATTTTTATCATTTAAAAAGTTGTCAATAAAAAAAAAGTTGAAAATATCCTTATCACATAAGATATATGAAGCATTTCCAGTCATTGTTTTTTTCTTATCTGCTCAAGGCCCTATTTACTATACAATGGTGTTATGTGTCCATGTGAGTGATTTGTTTATTCTTATCATTTCTGCGATAGTAAGATAACTCACTGAGGAGGCCTTTTTACAAATGGTGTGATGTGTTTTGTATCAAACAATGTGTTTGTGCACACAAAATGTAAACAATATAAAAAGCTGACAGCTCCTATTGTGACGAGGCTGAAATTGAATGAAATCTCTTACGGATTGGTGATGAACAACGCGCCAGATTCCATGGTTTCCGTTTTTGAATTTCCACACAGGATCCTTTGTTACGCTTAAGATGACCGAAGGTTTTAAACACGTGTATTTATCACAGCGCGAAAGTACAACGTGAAGCAAGCCGTCAATGCATTAAATAAATGTCTAAAAATAAACCACAATGTGTGAATGATGAGGTTATATTTTCAGGTTGCGTTACGCAATGAATATTACAAATTTAGTACACTTATGAAGCACTTATACAAGGGATATATTCACTTTGCACGCATGGAGTGAAGGATTAACGTATACTGAAGATGAATGTCCCTTAGAGCAAATTTTGTTGACACTAGCCAGCTGTGCATACAAACATTAGATTACGTTTTACACACACGATTTACCTATCAGAGCTCGCGGAGCTGGGAGTTTCAAACTTATTCAGCTTCCCAGCCATCACCGATGTTTATGAAAATATGTGTCAAGTATGAACAGTACGAAGATATACAAAAGGACAACGTGAAATTTTGAAAGTTCACGGCTGAAAGCACACGCAGGTATAATTTTTTGACGTTTACTCGTTCCGAAATCGTATTGCTTTAATATTTACCCCAGGAAAGTAAATATATCTCACATACGATAAGAAAACATTCTCAAATAGTTTTAACTTTACATTTACATTTAATTTCGGTTTTAAATGAGCCATGCTCCTAATTGATAAAGTGAAATTAGTGCTTACGTATAGCTGAAGTTTAACACAACATCTGATATGATTTTTGAACGAATTACAATTCTCCCGTCATGTAAGTAGATTTCTGAAAAATCAATACATATTATAATAATTAATTAAGAAGGACAACGAAAAGGTTTTAAATAGTTTTGGCATAAGTATTAATTAAAATTGAGTGCAATGTATTTGCAAATTTATGGGATTTAAAATAGAAGTAAAACAACTTAATTTGTTGAGGAGGTTTACACGATATTCTGTAATTTTGCTATTAGTTTATCATAGGAGTTTTGTTTTCATTTTTTGCGTTATAATGTTTACGTAACGAGATCTACGTTTAACGTATTATTTTAAGCTCTATAAATTCATCAAAAATAGGTATGATTTGTCAATAATAGCTTATCAATTGTTTAAAGCTTATTTTATGAGCGCAAATTTTATAGAGAAGTAGGTTTAAAAATTCAGAATCAAAATAGGCACGGAATTGGCATTTTCAAAATATATTTTTTCGATTCAATATAATAATACTGTACATGTAAAAACTGTAATGGCAGACGCTGTTCCCAAAATTTTTATTCCTTAATAAAAAAATTACATAATATAATATTTAATACAATTCGAAAATTTTAAATAAAATAGAATAGAATAAATAAAAATAATTTAAATTAGCAATGCAATAATTTAAAATAAAAACATGAATTAAAATTGATAAAATAGAAATAGATTTAAATAATTTAAATTAAAAATAAAATAGAATTAATTTTGTTATAAAAAAATAGAAAAAGAAATCACTATTATTAAGGACCTCTCTACAGAGTAAAGGTCTCCTCCACTTATCTCTGTTTTTTTCTATTTATGGTTGGAAATAGCAAAATAGCAAATAGCAAGTTTTTAATTAGGAAAACAAAATAAATTTTTGTCATTAAGTCGTGATGAATAGACGATACGTATAGAAGCATGATAATTCGATTTATAATAAGAGGTGGTTAAGGAATAAAGGGTTCGGTTTCGATCATTGGGGAGTATGGAGCCCTGTTAACACTGGTTGTAACAAACAGGACTTAGTAAACGCAAAACTGAAAAATTCTCCGGACATAGCATTTGATGAGACGAGTGGATAGTGAAGCGCTATCTATCTGTCTCTAGTATGTCCACAATACGTACTTATTTACAACAGAAATAATTGTATTTTATTATCGTAAGAAGTAAGTTTTCTTTTCTTGGTTTTTTTATAAGTTTTTTTTCTTTTATATGTTTGTGCTTTTTTTTACATGGGATAAATCCTTTACGCATCCCCCGCTTGGGTAGGCAATAGGGGTATGAATAGTTACGGAGTCCCCACTAAAACAGACGTTGCACCTGCGCTGTCACTTTTCCCGGGGAGACGGGAACACGAAAACGCAATCTTCCGCGAACCCCAGCGCGACTGTGGCCTTCTCAAGCCCTCCTCTCTCCGAGTGGCAGCAGATAGTTCTACAGGCTTGCTATCAGGGGGAAGGGTTGCGCGCGTAGGCCAGATTCCTGCGCCCCGGTCCCGGCGGCGGATTTCCAGGGTGGCAGTTTCCTTCCTTTCTCTCTCCGCGGCCTCCTTCCGGGTGATTATGTCCTCACAGAATGCAAGGAATGCAGAAGGAAGGCACCCCATGACCTCTCGCTGTCCACATAGCGCGAACCAGGGCAGGTAGCGACTCAACAACTTTGGGCTCTGCTCCCGCCAGGCTGGACACTCCTCCAGTGCGTGTTAGGCCATCTCCTCGGCACATACGTCACAGTGGTGGCAAACCGCTGTTGGCTCCGTCCTCGCCAAGCGCCACAGGTACCTCCCAAAACAGCCGTGTCCCGAGAGAACCTACGTCGACCTGTAGGATATGTTTGTGCACCTACCTGAACTTCTCGGTACCACCCTTAGGTTGACTGGTAGAAAATGCTGTCAGCATCAGGTCCGCCTATGTACTGTGTTTTGTGCATGAAATTTAAAAATAAATAAATAAAATGAATTATTAGTATTACATTTTTATTTAGTTACACTTTTAATTAACGCATACTAAAACATTTGAAATCTGCAAATCATCAGAAAAGTTTAGTTTCTGCTTCAATAATCTCTGGATAAATAAATGTATATATGTAAAGGTTCACCAGCTGAAAGAAAACATCGTGAGAAAACCTTCATAGTTTTCGGAATATTTTTTTTAAAACAATATCCTCACTTTTGGATAACATTATCATGTGTTGTAAGGACGTTTTACAAACATAAATTTCACTCGGAAGAACACCCATAATAACAGAAAAAAAATAATGCGAAGATGTGGTGCGTTTACGCCGGAGCGTGCCTATATCAAAAGCGAGTTCAGTAGGAGACTAAATGTAACCCTACATTTAGAAGAAGTTATTTAGATTAACCTCCGAGTTGGGTTGTGGGCGTGAAATCAATGCTCGCGGGATTGGCAGTTGGTACACGTGCTCCGAATACTCACAATTCTCCGTAGACGCGATTTACATAAGAATACGAATTCGCAAGCCACTGGCTCGGATAATAGTACAGTGGGGGCGAATTCCAAGTTCGGCTGCAAATTCCTATTCGGACGCGTAATAATTTCGACATTTGCCAATGTAGAGGAGCACTCACAGACGTTAATTAGCGGTAAATTAACATTAAAAAAAATATGGGCCGTGACAGCTCATATACGTCAGTACGTATCGAGCTTTCACGAGCTATCACGGCTCATATTTTTACCATAAGGATCAGTAGGATGATGACACGTTTATATGGTGCGTGCAGGTCATACAAAGCCTGAAGAGAGCTATTTAGATCAGAAAGCTTTTCATCTATTGAAGTATGGCTTAGCGTCGCAGTCCAGTCAATCAAGGCAGCATCACGGCATAGCTCATCGTTATTGAGTTTGGAAAAAATGCGCTTGTACAGAACAATTGGTTTTGTTTTAGGTGGCTTAAGTTTATACGACACAAACAGTAGGTCATGACGAGAGAAACCTGGAGCGGACAGTTGTCCATGTTCCGCAACATAGTTGGGAGAAGAAATAAGAATAAAATCAATCCAAGAATCAGCTGTATCTATGTTATGATGATGTATGCCAGTGATTTCTGCACGAAAGAAATTAAATATCATTGGACTCAACAATAGGATTCGAATATTGGTACTAGATTGGAAGTCCGACAAACGACTCAAGTGTTACATATACAAGTAAACAGATAAATAAGAAAAAACATTATCCACTTAACGATATATACACTTAACGATATCATACGCCGGTCCCTTGCCGCTGTGAACGTGCCAAGTGTACTTGAGGCAACTGGTATTGCAAGAGACGATGGCAAGAGACCGCACGGTATGAGTTTGATTCCATGGAAGATGGGCCGGTTGCTGGTATGGGATGCAACCTGTTCAAACACGCTGGCTGGCCCCTCCGCATCTAAATGGAACCTACAACAGAGCTGGTGCGGCTTGTGAAATCTAAAGCTTGCAAATAAAGGGGTCAAGGCTCCGAATATGATTTTGTCCCATTCGGTGCCGAGACCCTTGGTCCGTGGGGTCCCAGCGTTATAAGGCTTTTTAAGGAAATAGCAAAAAGGTTAGTCGACATCACAGGAGACCGAAGAGCTGGCAGCTACCTGGGACCAAGAATTAGTCTAGCTATTCAAAGGGGGAACGCTGCCAGTATCTTCGGAACGTTGCCTAAAGGGACTCCTTTTAATAACATATTTTAGTTATTATTTTTTTTTTAAGTTTTTAGTTTTATGCTACTGCTATATTATGCGAACATATTAGTAGTATTTTCTATTAAATACATTCTTATTTGACCAATCTGTCAGATAATCCGTAAGTGTTGGTGATAAATTTAGCTATAATAATACTGACCTCGTAAAGTATCGATTTATACGGGCCAAGGTAGGGCCACGCAGCAGCCTCGGCTGTTGCATGAATGGGCAGGCTCGTCCGGGTAAGTACCACGACCTCACAGAAGACCGGCGTAAAGTGGAAGTATAATAGTTTAGCGTTTCGTCTGGTGAGTGAGGTAGCCGAAGCCCAATTTCCAAAAAGGTTGTCAACGCATCGACAAACCTTCGGGTGTAGTAGATGTCCACGGGCGGCGGTATTCATTTAAGATCAGGTGAACCGTCTGCTCGTTTGGCAATTTTTCACATAAAAAAAAAGATTTTTTTTCCTAGCCAAGTGCATTTTTTACCAACGAAAAAGCCAAACCGACTTCAAATCTCTCGTTCTATATTCATTTTATAATTGATTTTCGGGATTTCCCTAAGTATCTCCGGAGCCCAAGATCCAATACAAATGAACCACGTGGGAAACACAAGCTTTCGAATAAAAAAGTATCGTAAGTATCAAAATCGGTTCACCCAGTTGAAAGTTCTGAGGTAACAAACATAAAAAAAAATACAGTCGAATTGAGAACCTCCTCCTTTTTCGAAGTCGGTTGAACATCTAGTTTAGCGGCGTGTTTAAAATCTGATAGCAATTTTGACCAATTGATCGGAAATATATGATAAAATATTCTAATAATACAGCAATGGAGTCAGAAAGATATTCGAAATTCCATATCGCTGTCGTGGAATCAAATTAAAATCTGCACCAAATTGAAAAGGTAACTCCGACGTCTGACAAAAAAGTCATTGGAATTTTTTCCTTTTACGTGGCTATCTTTTTGTGTCTGAGCATGAAGAATCTGTGCGTATAATTTTATTACAACGTTTGC